TCTAACCACCGAGAAAACTGGCCAGGGCTAGAATGCTACTCTTTTAAAAGATTAGAAATAACAGGTGTTGGAGAGGATGTAGAGAAAAGGGAACCTTTGTATACTGATGGTAGGTTTTTAAATTGATGCTGCCACTATGGAAAATAGTATGGAGAGCCTTCGAAAAATTAAGAATAGAACTACTGTATGATCCAGCAATTCCTCTTCTGGGTATTTATCTGAAGAATATGAAAACACATTTAAAAAGATATGTACCCCTATGTTTATTGCAGCATTATTTACAATGGCCTAGAAATGGAAACAACCTAAGTGTCCATGGACAGAAGAATGGATAATGAACTTAACGAATATGCCTGGTTGGTGTGGCTCAGTGGATTGAGCATCACCCCATGGACTGAGAGGTCTCCAGTTCAATTCCCATTCAGGGCACATGCCCAGGTTTCGGGTTTGAACTCCATTACGGGTTGTGCAGGAGGCGGACAATCTATGTTCTTGCTTTTCTGCTCATCGATTTTTCTATCTTCTCTCTAAAATCAATAAAGGAAAAAAAATTTTTTAAATATACATATATATAAAACATTGCCCTGGCCAGTGTGGCTCAGTTGACTGGGTGTTGTCCCATGCACCAAGGGGTTGCTGGTTTGATTCCTGTTGGGGCACATGCCTAGGTTGCTGGCTCAATCCTTGGTGGCGGGTGTGCAGGAGGCAGCTGATTAGTGTTTTGCTGTCACATCAATGTTTCTCTCTCTCCCTTCCCCTTCCTCTCTCAAAAAAAAATCAACACAAATATTCGAAAAAACATATAAAATATTGCCATTTGCAACAACATGAAAGGATCTTGAAATTATGCTAAGTGGAATAAGTCAGATGGAAAGGACAAAAACCATATGACTACTCATGTGTACTATAAAACAAAAAGATACAAATAAAGTGAAACAAAAACAAACTCCTAGGTACAGACAACAGATTGATGGTTACCAGAGGGGAAAGAGAGTGGGGAGAAGATGAAATGGTTAAGGGTGGGGGACAAATGTATGGTAACTAGACTTATGGTGCTGAGTGCTCTATAGTGTTTATAGATATAGAATTATAACATTGTACACCTGAAACATATACAGTGTTATTAACGAATGTCCCCTCAATTAAAAAAGATGTAGTAAGATGCTGGAGTTATCCTTTAGAGTAGCTGTTCTCAACCTGTGGGTTGTTTCACAGGGGTCGCCTAAGACATAACAGTAGCAAAATTACAGTTATGAAGTAACAACAAAAATAATTTTATGGTTGGGGGTCACCACAACATGAGGAACTGTATTAAACGGTTGCAGCATTAGGAAGGTTGAGAACCACTGCTTTAGGGTTTTGTTCAGGGATGATGTACAAAATATTTTATCAGTTGTCTGGTAATATGAATTAATACATAACTCAATCTGTAACTCAAAATTGTAAAAATATCTTCTCATTCTTTTTTTTTTATCCTCACCCGAGGATATTTTTCCATTTTTTGTACAGATAGAGTGGGAGGGAGAGAGAGGAAGGGAGAGAGAGTGAGAAACATCAACGTGAAGGGACACATCGAGTGGCTGCCACCCGCATGACCAACCAGGGCCGGGGACAAATTGCAACCGAAGTACGTGCCCTTAGCGGGAACTGAACCCGGGTCTCTCCGGACCGCAGGCCGACACTCTAACCGCTGAGCCAAACTGGCCAGGGCTATCTTCTCATTCTTTAACTAATATGTGTGCTATAAAATTACTTGTTGATATATGTGGTGAACAGTGCGTGTGCATGTGTGTGTCACTATCACCAGCTAAATTATACCTATCTGAGCCATAATTTAACATTGGGAACCAATGTCAAATGATTTCACTGACTTTGCTAATAAAATGATGGTTATTAAGTACTTGGTAATCTCAACAAGTAGAGAATTTCTCTTAACATGAGTGATATTGTTCATGGTGCTGATTGTTTTCAGGTTTTATTGAAGTAATAGCAGTAACATTTTAATTTTAGTCTGAGCTTTTTGTATATTCTTTATCTCTATTGTCTAGGTCACAGAAAATAGTTCTTTTATTTATTTATTTATTTATTTATTATTTTTTTATCCTCACCCGAGGACATTTTTCCATTTTTTGTTCAGATAGAGCGGGAGGGAGAGAGAGAAACATTGATGTGAAGGGACACATCGAGTGGCTGCCACCCGCACGACCAACCAGGGCCGGGGACAAACTGCAACCGAGGTACATGCCCTTAGCGGGAACCGAACCCGGGTCTCTCTGTACCGCAGGCCGACACTCCATCCGCTGAGCCAAACCAGCCAGGGCAGAAAATAGTTCTTTAGAAAGTGGTCTTTAGGTCAGACCTAATCTTTCAGATGGGTAAAAAGCCGCATTAGCAAAGCAGTTAAGAGTATGGACTCTGTTGCCAGACCAGCTGGATTCAAATCCTGGCTTGCGGCTTAAGTTTTAAGTAACGTCTTTGCTCCTAAGTTTCCTCATCTATAAAATGAGGGTGGTGATGATACATATTTATTTAGGACAGTGCCTGACAGAGTGAGTACTATATATGTTAGTTCCCTTTATATTTTAAGAAATAATTATATTCATCCCATAACAAATAGGAATTCATCAGGTTTAAACTAATGCCTGCTATTAAATTGGGGGCAAAATTCAATAGGGATGTTGCAAAGGAGAGTCCCTGCCCCAGATCTTTCCTGGTATCAAACTGCCCTCACTCTCTTCCCATTTCTAGAATGACTACAGAACCCACAGTTCCAAGCTAGTGCCTGACATCCCTAGCTCTCAAAACCAAATTCTCCTGGATGCTGCGGCTCCCAAAAGTTGGAGGTTTGCTGGCAGCAGGTGGTCATGGCCTTCGGGACCCAAGTAGACACCAGGCATTGGCCTCCCATAATGCCAGCACCATTCAAAAGGCACCATATTCTCGCCAGTCAGGTCAGCTCTGGAAATAGAATATTTGGAGATGGCATGGTGTTCAGAAGCCACGGTATATGTCATGAGATGAAAAAGTTTGAAAATCGCTGATCTAAAGTATTTAAAGAAGACTTTAAGATGTGTGGTGTTTCAGTTCATTTAGCAGAACACCTTGTTCATTCTGTCAAGCAAGTGAAATAATAAGCATTAAGCTAAAAGCTTATAATCAAGCTTCCATTTATATAAGGCTGTTCAACTTGGGTAGAGTAAATGTGAATACACATCAAAGTTCATCTTAGACATCACTCTGTTCTTCAACAAAGACAGTTGTCCTTTTTGTTCCTTTTTTTTTTTTAATCCTCACCCGAGGACATTTTTTCATTTTTTGTTCAGATAGAGTGGGAGGAAGAGAGACAGAGAGAGACATCGACGTGAAAGGGACACATTGAGTGGTTGCCACCCGTACAACCCAACCAGGGCTCAGGACAAACTGCAGCTGAGGTGCGTGCCCTTACCTGGAACCGAACCCGGGTCTCTCTGGACTGCAGGCCGACGCTATAACTGCTGAGCCAAACTGGCCAGGGCTGTTCCTTATCTTTCCATCTGTGCAATGGGTGGGTCAACATTCTATCACACTAAGATGTAGTGGGAATATGTAAATACTATGAGAATTTATGTAATACCGTTCAAGAAAGTATTGGAATATGCACCTGCATACTTGTGTGAATTGAGCAGGTTTATTCCACTGAACATAATGATCTCATCTGCAAGTGCAGAGCCCTTCTTTCTGTCTATCCAACCTTTTCTTCCTCATGGTTTGGAGGAAATTAAGTGAGAAAATATTGAACATAGACGATGGAAATCAGCATAAATTTGCTAGGACTTTCAAGCTAGAAACAGCAATGGTAATCATTTTTCTAATCTACCTTCTTATTTTCCAGATAAGAATAATTAAGGGATTTAACTAAGGTCATAAGGCTATTTAACAAATGTGAAGAATTATAGATATCCTCAATTTGGGGGGAATATTGTGATTCTTTAGCACAATAAGGAAAAGTGTGGGGTTTTTTGGTTAATCCTTACCTGAGGTTATTTTTTCTATTGATTTTTTAGACAGTGGAAGGGAAGGATGGGGGGAGAGAGAGAGAGAGTGCAACATCAATGTGAGAGAGACGTATCAACTGGCTGCCTCCTGCACAACCCCGACCAAGGCCATGAATCAAACCCACAACCCTTTGGTCCGCAGGCTGATGTTCTTAATGGCTGAGCCAAATCGGCCAGGGCAGGAAAGTGTTCTTTAGGTCTGTTTATATAGTTTCTACCTGAGGTACTAATGAATAGTTCTCAAAGGGGAGAATCCAAATTACATAGGTTTTCTACTCCATGGAGGGGGATGCTGGAATTACTAGAGAAGGACCAACAATTGGAGGGGAGGGGTAAATTTTTTCTTTCAAAAACTATTATAGGCACATGGTATAAAAAAAAGGTTTAAACTATGTAAAAGATATTATTGTGTGCAATAAAATGTAAGTCTCCCATATGGATTCCAAATTTAGAGGTAACTACTGTTAACAATTTTTTATGTGTCCTAGAAATGTTATATGTGAGTATATAAGAATATATATGTATATTAATGGAAGCATATGTGCCATTCTGCCCCCTTTTTTGTTATTTTTTTTTATTTAGTATCAGCACATATAGAGGTATCTCTTTTTTAAAAGGCTACATAGTATTCTATATAAAGATGTACTCATACATATTTAACCACTTCCTTAATGATAGATATTTGTTGTTTCAAGTTTTCTGCTTTTAAAACAGAACAACAGTAAATATCCTGGTATGTCTTCAGTACAGCCCAAGTATATCTGTAGGATAAATTTCTAAACATGGAATTATTAAAGGGTGTGTGCATTTTAGATTTTGATAAGTTTATATCAAGTGTATATATTTAGAAAAGCTCCCCTGGTATTTATGGAAAGTATATTCTCTCTAAAGCATTACTGCAGAGTAAGACTTGGTTTGACTCTAATGAAACTCACTTATTTACTTTCTTATTTTCTTTACTTGAAGCCTGTGCCTACTGCACTGGCTCAAGTGGACAGAGAAAAGATCTATCAGTGGATCAACGAGCTGTCCAGTCCTGAGACAAGGGAAAATGCTTTGCTGGAGCTAAGTAAGAAGCGAGAATCTGTTCCTGACCTTGCACCCATGCTATGGCATTCGTTTGGTACTATTGCAGCACTTTTACAGGTGGGTATATATCCATGAGCTGTAAATTAGTTGTCTTTGTCACACTTGTAACTCTTTGCCTTTGCCCAAATGATTTTGAAGACATTAGTAGGATGAGTCTCCAAATGTTGGCATTTGCAAGAATCTGTTTTAGAAAAGGCCAAGGTGCATGTTAAAATGCAGATTCTTGGGTCCTACCCAAGAGTTGGTTTAGTCTGAGATTAAAATCTATATGTTTAACAAGCACCTTTCCTGCTCTCAGATGATTCTGATGCAGATAGTCTAAGAACTACACTTTCAGAAACATAGCTTTGGGAGTACTATAGGACAGTTCTACATGACCATGGTGAGAAGGTGGAAAGTAAGATGTAAGGACTGCAAGGTATATGCTGAGGAAAGAAAATGTTAACTATTTAACAGTTGTAGGAGTAAAGGTGAGTACACTTGTGCATTAAAGAGTAAATAACTGAAATTTGTTTCTGACCAGAATAGTCATTGGTGGGGAAAAAATTGATATGCTGTAGTCTAAGGAATGATCATCCTTAAAGTATTGTCCAAAATACCTAATATTTAGATTAATTTTTCAGATTTGTTAAGTCAGTTCACATTCTATCCCTACTGCATCTAATCTTATTGGAATATTTTCTTTGTAAAAGTTTTACAATTAAACAATTGTATTCAACAAATTATCACCTTTTGGTAAAGAGTACATATATTTACTGCATGTACCCATGTTCTTATCTTCCTCTGTTTGCAGTTGCTACCTAACCAAACTCAAATGCCTTTCTGAGTCCCTGTGATTAATTTACTAACACTATCTGGCCAGCTACCTCATCACTGTAATTTAAGCAGGGTGTTAACAAAAAGAGAGATTATAAATGTAAGAGTTCCTCAAAACCAAAAGCCTCAACAGATGCAGAATATAAAGAAAATGTCAGTGACCACAGTTCCCTCCATAGAAATCTTCCTAGAGACATGTAGAAATGTCACAGGTAGTCTCAGTCAAGTATATTTCTGATAAAAGGGTAAGAGCATATTCAAATTATTTGCTTTAATATCATGGGAATTTATAAGTTGTTCTTTGTTCATTTGGTGCTGGTTTCCATTTTCTAGGAAATTGTAAATATTTACCCATCTATCAACCCACCCACCTTGACAGCACACCAATCTAACAGAGTTTGCAATGCTCTGGCATTACTGCAGTGTGTGGCATCACACCCAGAAACCAGGTAAAATGCTTTGAATGAGTCTGTTTTGGGGAGGTTTGTACTGAATGTGATCTTTAACTTTTTCTGAATGATGACAGAAGGGGCATGCAGTAGGGTGCATGTGTGTGGGTATGGATCTTCAAGATCCACGTTTACTTTTTTCCCTGAAGAATTTCTGGTTTCTAATTCACTAAATGTTTGTGTTGTAACAGTATGGTATTGTTTAACATGTCCTTTTTTTATCCTCACCTGAGGACATTTTTGCATTTATCTTCAGATAGAGCGAGAGGGAGAGAGGAAGAAAGAGAAACATTGGTGTGAGAGAGAGACATTGAGTGGTTGCCACCCACATGACCCCAATTAGGGCCGGGGACAAACTGCAACCAAGGTACATGCCCTTAGTGGGAACCGAACCTGGGCCTCTCTGGTCCGTGGGCCGACGCTCCAACCACTGAGCCAAACCATCTAGGGCTAACATATCCTTTTATAATTAACTTTTTTAAACCTTTTTTTATTGTGGTAAAATATATATATATATAACATGAAATTTACCATTTTAACCAGTTTTAAATATACAGTTCAGTAGTGTTAAATATATTTATAATGTTCAACCATCACTACCATCCATCTCCATAATTCTTCATCTTTTAATGCTAAAACTCTATACCCATCAAATAATAACTCTTCATTCTCTCAGCTCCTGGCAACCATTCTACTTTCTGTCTCTGATATTTACCACTCTAAACACCTCACATAAGTGGAGTCATACAGTATTTGTCTTTTTTGTGATTGGCTTATTTCACTTAACATAATATCTTTAAGGTTTATCCATATTATAGCATATATCAGAATTCCCTTCCTTTTTAAAGTTGAATAATATTCCATTGTGTAGGGCAGGAAGAGATTAACCAAAGAACTTACATGCTTTTATGCATTGCCCATGGACACAGACAATAGGAAGGTGAGGGCCTAGGGTGGGATAGGAGCTGGGAGGAGGGAGGTAATGGGGGAAAGGGGGCAGAACATTTGTAATACTCAACAATAAAGATTTTTTTCTCTTTATTGGTTTTAGAGGAAGGGAGAGGGGAGAGAGAACATCAGTTGGCTGCCTCTTGCATGCTTCCCACTGGGGATCAGGCCCACAACCTGGGCATGTGCCCTGACCAGGAATCAAACCGGTGGTGACCTCTTGGTGCATGGGTCGATGCTCAACCACTGAGCCACACCAGCTGGGCTCAACAATAAAGATTTAAAAAATAAAAATTAAAAATATGCCATTGTCTTATATACCATTCATGGCAATGAATTTTAAAGCTGTGGTATTCACATCTCAGGAAAGGCAGATAGCCACTTTTTTCTCCTTAATCCACAGTAGGCATCACTGTGCTTTATGTGAGGCAGTACATGGCATTTAGTAAATATTTGAACCCAGCACTTTTTCCACCAAACCCACATTTGGCATCAGAATCTTGCTTAACACAGGATTCTAGGCAACCTCGGTAAAAGATGAGAATTGGCAAGGTGAAAGGGAAATCCTGTTTAGGAATCTACTTTGTGACTTTTATGGCCCTAAGATACTTAACAGTCATCTTATTAAAGTTTTTCCTCTCTTTGTCAAGTTACGTTATAAAATCTGAGTGTTAGGATGGCACTGACCTTCCAGAGCTTTAGAGAAGTTACTAAGAAAATTATTTTTAAGCACTTAAGAAAAATGCAAGAGTACTTTTGAGTGTTAAAAATTTGGGGTGTTAGCTCTCCTACAAAGTTTAACTATAAAGAGTGTAAAGTATCAGATTGTTACCATATTAGTTGCCTGACATATAGTTGCAGATTCAGATGTTTTTAGAATAGTGTATCTGAAATTCTCTAATAAGAAAAGAAGAGTATGCATTTAAGCATAGCAGATAAATTTGTAATGACTGCTTTGTTGTCTTGGTTTATAAGGTTTTGTCCGACTATACCTGTAAATATTGTTATTCAGCCATAAATTAGGTGAGAGAAGGCATCTAGGAGAACATCTTGGATACTTGATTGCATTTTATGATCTATTTTAATTTTTACTCTGCAGTTGAATATTTCCAGTTTTTAAGGTACTTGGTGCTGATAAGAGGAAAATTGTGTATTCTCTTAACCATCAGCCTAGACTAGGGTTTTTTCATCTTGACACCATTGATGTTTTGAGCTGGATAAGTCTTTGTGGTGGGAGGAGGTGGTTCAGAGGGGCTGTCCTGTGCATTGTAGGATGTTTAGCAGCATCCCTGGCCTCTGTCTGCTGGATGCCAACAGCACTGCCTCAGTTGTGACAACCAAAAATATCTTCAAACATTGCCATGTGTCCCAGGGGGATGGGGGGCGGCAAATCGCCCTAGTTGAGAACCACTGGTTTAGACTGACCAGTAACAGTTTTACCTAAAGATTTCTTTGTTAGGCATTGTTATAGGCCTTATATAATTAACCATATGGAAATGTGAATGTTTAGAATTCTTAAATTAATTCTGGGCTCTGAATGATTATTTTTTTCTTCCAGGTCAGCATTCCTTGCAGCACACATCCCACTTTTTTTGTACCCCTTTTTGCACACTGTCAGCAAAACGCGACCCTTTGAATATCTTCGGCTAACCAGTCTTGGAGTTATTGGTGAGTCATTAGGGTTGTTTTACAAGCCTGAAGTCCTAATTTATAATAGTGGTCTTAACTTGGGTATTTTGTCTGGTGTGTTCTAGCATTTGTTCACTAATTGTTTTTGTCTTTGAGATTGAGTTTGTTTTTAGGAATGAGTATCAGGAACATGATGGCTCTCTTTTACCAAGTGCCATTCTGAGTGTTGTTAATAAGGCCCAGTAGTTGGGATTAAATTCAGTGTATATGTAGAAATGTTTACAGGAATTGCAGGGAGAGTAAAGAACAATAACTTCAGTCAACAAATAAAAAGTATAATTCTAGGTATAAGAATTGGAGTTTGTTTTTCTTGTTCTGTTTTATCTTTTGTTGTCACTTCTAAACTGTTTTCCCTTAACTTTAAGGGTTTACCTTCTATTTCACCTAGTTAAATTTTTGCATGCTCAAGTTAATGTTTTTATATACATTTACTATGGGAAATATGTCTAAAATACGTTTTACCCAAGAAAGTAATATATAGTGTAACCTTGGTTCTTGTTAATTTGTTCCAGAATACAATTCGAGAAGCAATTTGTTCAAAAACCAAATCATTTTTTCCCATTTGAAATAATGTAAATTAAATTAATTTACTCCAGACCACCCAAACAATTGCGTTTTAAACTTTTATATGTACAGTACATGTCTAATGTACTGTTTATAAACAAACACTTCTTACATATATTGAATCACCCCAACTAGCCTTAAACGAATCATTTTCATTTCAGACACACTCATTCTAGGTGTGTCTTTTAGGAGGTCAGTATGTAGCGTCTTCACTTTTTCACATATCATTGCCTTTGAAATGCTATCACCAGCTAACTGCTTTTCATTTATTCAAATCAACAACAATTTTTCTACCTCTTCAGTTGCCTGTGATCATTGGTCTCTCTTTCACACTATTAGCAACATCAGCACTGTTGATGGCCTTTTTATGTTTTAAAATTGTGTTAATCATCTATTTCACCAGCAACAAAAGCAAAAAAAAATCCATGAAAATACTCACAGCACAATAATCTGAGATGTTAACAACATGAGGTTTAGCAATACACTAACACATACTGGTGCTTTCTCTCTTTTGTAGCCTGAGAGATGTTTTTTGTCATGCTGATACATCAGTGTTGTCAGGTTGAGAACAGAAGTTTTGTTTGACAACTCATTTTTTCTGTGAACAACTTGGTCTAGAACTGAATTGTTTGAGATGGGAGACATTTGAGAACTGAGGTTTGACTGTATCAGCTACTTCAAATCTCGGCCTTTTGGCAGTAAAGAACTACTTTTGGATTTGTGAAATGTAAATAGATTTAAGAAGGTTTCTCTCTCCCTCCCTCTGTCTCTCTCTCCCTCCTTCCTAGTCTCTCTTGAAAAAAAAAAAAAATCAATGGAAAAATATCCTTGGGTGAGGATTAACAACAACAAAAAAGTTTAGTATTTCTGAGACATTTTATTCTACTTTTAAAGAGTAACTATTTCAGCCCTGGCCAGTTTAGCTCAGCGGTTAGAGCATCGGCCTGCGGTCCAGAGAGACGACCTGGGTTTGGTTCCCGCTAAGGGCACAAACTTCGGTTGCAGTTTGTCCTTGGCCCTGGTTGGGTCATGCAAGTGGCAACCACTCGATGTGTCCCTTTCACGTCGATGTTTCTCTCTCTCTCTCTCTCTCTCTCTCTCTCTCCCTCCCTCCCACTCTATCTGAACAAAATATCGTAAAATGTCCATGGGTGAGGATAAAAAAAAAAAGAGTAACTATTTCATACATTCCAAATGAATGTTACTGTTTTTTACATCTCCTTCCAAGTGGTATACTAATTAGGAACTTTTTTCCAGTGTATTTGTTTCTGCTTTTAAGCTACACAAATTTTTCATGTAAGGTTTAAAATAACATGATTTCGGCCAAAAAAAAAAAAAATGTATATGCTGAATTCTGATTTAAATCATACTATTTCTGCTGTTTTTTTGTTTTTTTTCTTTCATATGTTTTTATTGATTTTTTTAGAGAGGAAGGAAGAGAGAGATAGAAACATCGATGTGAGAGAGAAACATTGATCAGCTGCCTCCTACATGCTCCCTATTGGGTATCAAGCCTGCAACTTGGGCATGTGCCCTGACTGGGAATCAAACCAGGACCTCTCAGTCCATGAGATGACACTCAATCCACTGAGCCACATCAGCTGGGCTCTGCTGGTTTTTTGACCATTGAGGTTGGATGGCATTGATGAGATGGTAAGATAAAGTTAATAGAGGAGGAAGACTAAAATACTTGGACAATATTACGCCAATTTTCACCCTTGCATATATTTTCTGCAACTCAGTTTCTCCAAGTCAGTTGAGAGAACAAGCAGAAGGTGAATATTTGGACCTAGGTTTTTTGCTTATAGTTCAAGAGTTGTCAGGTAAGTTTGAATATAAATGAAATGATGCATAAGAGAAATGAGAAAATACTTGAAAATGAATTAAAATTAAAACAGCATATCAAAATTTGTACAATGTAACTAAAGCGGGGCTTAGAAGAGAGGTCTTGAATCAAATATCTTATTAAGAAACAAGAAAATGGAGCAAGAGAAGTAAGGTTTTCTTTTTATCGACCTCGACTTCTGAGTATGGAAAATGTAAAAGGCAAGAATTGGAACCCCACAAAGAAGTCAGAGAGTGGGGTGGGGCTTGCAAATTCTAACCAATAGAAGCTAAAGAGGAACATCGGGTTGCTGGTGGACTAAGTATACAAAGAAACTCAGGGAGGAGACCAAATGGAAGAGATGAAGATGTCAAAGCTTTCTGTCCACAAAAGATAGCACAGACAATAAAAGAGTAAGACTTCAGAAGAACAGACCAATTCGCCCATTGTCCATTAAATTGCCACCAGTTAACCTGTTTCATGAGACACCATGAGGGCTTGGTGCCAGCAATTAAAGCTGAGCACCACAGGCTTGAAATTGGAAGCATATAAGAGGGTGTGAATATATTTACCCTTGTAATCAAAAGAATATTCCTGTGACAGGAAGGGAGGCCAAGATCTTGACAGAAGCACAAAGGAAATTGAAGGTGAAAATGGGGGAGATTACTCTGGAATGTTTTGATCTTCTTGAAGTGACTACTCCCGTTGAGGAGGAGGGGGTGCTTCCCTTTGGAGGGGCTACTGCTCTCCTTGAGGGAATGGACAATATTTTTATGACAACTTCCACTCCAGATGCTGTGTTTGCCTCCTGGAGCAGAATTGCAGCCAGGACTGGGAAGATGGAGACAGTATCACCACAAGAGGCCTCTGATGTCAGGTGGTGTGTGTTCCATGGGTGAAGTCTCCCTGTAGACAGAGGGTTGGGTTCAGCTACAGTTTTATGCTGGGCAAACCTGGATTCCTGAGAAATGGGAAAGTATGTGTACTCTTCTTGCTACCTACCTGCAACTTTCCACCCCCATACCTGGAGGACAATATGTTGTGCCCAAATGTATCCATAGGAATAATGTATTAATGAAAAGCGTTCAGTGAGATAATAAAGCCAAGAAAAAGAGTGCAGCTATGATTATAATTAATGATAGAAAGGTGGCTGTGATCTACTGCATGGTGTCACTGAACTCCGGGCTGCTTGACATCCTCCATGCTGCTTGCTTACAGGGCCCACAGACTGGTGGGGAGCAGATGTAACCCTCAAGCTTCCCAACAATGCCTATTGCTTTCTCTGTTGGGTCATAGATATTCGTGTTTTAAAATGGACCGGCATTTCACAAATTATCCTTCATTACAGTTAAGATGAAAAAGTCACACAGCATCGAACGATCACCTATCTGAAATAGAAGTGACCCCAGCAGCTGTTTTACAGTGGGAAGGAACCTGAAGTGAACATTGTGAAGGGAGTGAAGAAACAAAAGTGCTCCCACGCTGGATTCCTGCCTCAGGATTCTGATTCCTGTAGTTTAATAACTTCAAACTGCTGACTATCTTAAGCCAAAGGAAAAGCTGTTGTCTCCACTCCCAAAAAGTACATTCTTAATACACAAAACATTTTTCAAAGTTTTCTTAACCTGAGATTTCTATCTCAGGTGTATCTCTGGGATAAAAACACAGGGCACTTTGGCCCTGGCCTGTTTGGCTCAGCGGTTAGAGCATTGGCCTGCGGTCCAGAGAGACCCAGGTTTGGTTCCCGCTAAGGGCATGTACCTTGGTTGCAGTTTGTCCCCGGCCCTGGTTGGGTTGTGCAGGTGGCAGCCACTCGATGTGTCCCTTTCATGTCAATGTTTCTCTCCCTCCCTCCCTCCCTTCCTCCCACTCTATCTGAACTAAAAATGGAAAAATGTCCTCAGGTGAGGATTTAAAAAACAAACAAAAAACACACAGGACACTTTGCCAGTATTACTTTAGTTATAACTGTTGTGTATAGTTTTGCTGTTTAAAAATGTCCCACAGCCCTGGCCGGTTTGGCTCAGCGGTTAGAGCGTCGGCCTGCGGTCCTGAGAGACCCGGGTTCGGTTCCCGCTAAGGGCATGTACCTCGGTTGCAGTTTGTCCCCGGCCCTGGTTGGTCGTGCGGGTGGCGGCCACTCGATGTGTCCCTTTCACATCGATGTTTCTCTCTCTCTCTCTCTCTCCCTCCCGCTCTATCTGAACAAAAAATGGAAATATATCCTCAGGTGAAGATAAAATAAATAAATAAATAAAAATGTCCCACACATCTGCCAGAATGGCTGCCATCAGCAAATCATCAAACAACAAGTGCTGGCGAGGGTGCAGAGAAAAGGGGACTCTAGGACACTGCTGGTGGGAATGCAGACTGGTGCAGCCACTATGGAAAATAACACTGTGTCCTCTAAAAATTAAAAATTGAACTGCCATTTGGCCCAGTGACCCCACTTCTAGGAATATAACCTAAGAAGCTTGAAACACCAATCTGAAAGAATGTACCGCTATGTTCATAGCAACACTATTTACAATTGTTAAACAGTGTGAGAGAGACACATCGACTTGGAAACAGCCCAAGTGTCCATCAATAGATGAGTGAATAGCCCTGGCCGGTTTGGCTCAGCGGTTGGAGCGTCGGCCTGCGGTACAGAGAGACCCGGGTTCGGTTCCCGCTAAGGGCACGTACCTCGGTTGCAGTTTGTCCCCGGCCCTGGTTGGTCATGCGGGTGGCAGCCACTCGATGTGTCCCTTCACATCGATGTTTCTCTCTCTCTCTCTCTCTCTCTTCCTCTCTCTCCCTCCCGCTCTATCTGAACAAAAAATGGGAAAATGTCCTCGAGTGAGGATAAAAAAAAAAAAAAAAAAAAGATGAGTGAATAAAATAGCTGTGGCACATATACACAATGGAATACTATGCAGCTGTAAGAAGAAAAGTTCTCTTGTCCTTTGAGATGACATGAAGGGACCTGGAGAGTGTTATACTAAGTGAAACAAGCCAGTCAGAGAAAGACAAGTATCACATAATCTCACTTATTTGTGGAATATAATGAACAAAATAAGGTGATGAACAAAATAGACCCAGAGACATAGAAGTAGGGTTCAGGCTGACACTTCAGAGGAGATACCGGGGATGGGTAGATAAACCAAGGAAACTTAATGCACATAAGCATAACCAATGGACATAGATGACAATGCTGGGGAGGGGGCGGGTGTCAATGGGGGGAAAGGGAGAAACATCTGTAACAAAAATAATTAAATAAAAAAAATGTCCAAGGTTACTTCTGAGTCATAAATACATAATATGTTTATAATGTGTATGTAAAAATTCATCTGCTATCTTTCAGAAACTTTGTTGTATGCAAATTATTTTTGTTCTGAACTCAGTAGGATTAAACCGAAAGGCATGATTATTAGTGATAATTTGTTCATTATAATAAATAATATATACTTTTTTAAAAAGGAGCAAATTAAACCAGCGCATACAGAAGGAAGGAAAATAAAGACTAGACATTAGTGAAAATAAGAACAGAAAATCAATGAAACCAAAAGCTGGTTTCTTTTTTAATCCTCACCTGAGGATAATTTTCTATTTTTCTTCAGATACAGTGGGAGGGAGAGTAAGGGAGAAAGAAACATCAGTGTGAGAGAGACATATCGACTGGTTGCCTCCTACACAACCCTGACCAGAGCTAGGGATGAAATGCAACCGAGGTACGTGCCCTTGACTGGAATCGAACCCAAGACTCATTAGTCCGTGGACTGACTCTCTAACTGCCGAGCAAAACCGGCCAGGGCCCAAAGCTGATTTTTTTTTTTTTTAAATTGACATATAACATTGTATTGTTATAGGTGTACAGTATGATTTGATATATTGGAGATTGATTACCACAGTAAGTTTAGTTAACATCCCTCCACCACACATAGTTATGAGAACTTTTAAGATCTGTTCTCTTAAGTTTCATATATACAAAGTAGTATTGTTACTACTGTATAGTTACCATGCTGTACATTAATTACATCCCCAAGACTTATTTATCTAATAATTAGACAGTTGTACCTTTTGATCATCTTTACCCATTTCACCTATCCCCCAGATTTTTATTGGGAAAAAAATCAGCCCTGGCCAGTTTAGCTCAGCGGTTAGAGTGTCAGCCTGCAGTCCAGAGAGACCCGGGTTCAGTTCCCGCTAAGGGCATGTACTTCGGTTGCAGTTTGTCCCCGGCCAATGGTTGGTTGTGCAGGTGGCAGCCACTTGCCGTGTCCCTTTCACGTCGATGTTTCTCTCTCTCTCTTCCATCCGCTCTATCTGAACAAAAAATGATAAAAAAAAAAAAAAGTCCTCTGGTGAGGATAAAAAAAAAATCAATAAAATTAATAAGCCTCTAGGCAGATTGAGGGAAGAATTACAAATGTCAGGAATGAAAGGGACTAATAACAGACTCTGCAGACATGAAAAGGATAATAAGGGAATAATGTTAAAAACTTTATACCCATAAATTTGACAACTTAGATGAAATGAAAAAATTTTTTTTGAAAGATTCAATCTGCTAAAACACTTGAGAAACGTAGATAAACTAAACAGTCTTTTATCTATTGTCTTTGTAGTTTAAAACCTTCCAATGGAGAAAACTCCAGGCCTAGATTGTTTTACTAGTGAAGTCTATCAAAAATTTAAAGAAGAAATAATACTAATTCTACAAAACTTTTCAAGAACACAAAAGAAGCCTCTTAACTTTTGGTGAAGCCATTACTATGATGATAAAACAAGAAAAAGACAAAAGGAAGCTACAGGCTTCCTTATGAACATAGCTGCAGAAATTCTCACCAAATCGGTAACAAATTAAATCTAACAGTATATAAAAAAGATCATCATGCCCTGGCCAGTTTGGCTCAGCCATTAGAGCGTCGGCCTGCGGTCCGGAGAGACCCGGGTTCGGTTCCCGCTAAGGGCACGTACTTTGGTTGCAGTTTGTCCCCGGCCCTGGTTGGTCGTGCGGGTGGCAGCCACTCGATGTGTCCCTTCACGTCGATCTTTCTCTCTCTCCCTTCCTCTCTCTCCCTCCCACTCTATCTGTACAAAAAATGGAAAAATATCCTCGGGTGAGGATAAAAAAAAAAAAAAAAAGATCATCATGACCAATGGAGGTTTATCCTGGGCATGCATGCTGGCTCACTTTTCAAAAATGATTCAATATGATTGATTATATCAAGAGACTAATAAAAACCATTATCATTTTTGTAGGGTTTTTTTTAAGCCTTTGATAGAATTTAGTATTCATTTATCCTCACCCAAGGACATTTTTTGATATTTTGTTCAGATAGAGTGGGAGGAAGGGAAAGAGAGAGAGAGAGAGACATCGACGTGAAAGGGACACATCGAGTGGTTGCCACCCACACGACCCAACCAGGGCCGGGGACAAACTGCAACCGAGGTTCTTGCCCGTAGCGGGAACCAAACCCAGGTCTCTCCAGAACGCAGTCCAACATTCTAACCGCTGAGCCAAACCGGTCAGGGCAGTATTCATTTATGATAAAAATTCCAGCAAAGTGGAATACAGGGGAACTTTCTTAATTTGATAAAGTACAAAAAGGAAAAACAAAAACCTATGGTTAACATCATAGTTAATAGTTAATGTGAAAAATTGATTGTTGTCCCCAAAGATGGAGAATAAGGAAAGGATGTTTATTCTTACCACTCCTGTTCAGTATCATGCTGGGTTACCTATCTGGTACATTAGGCATGAGAAAAAAAGTAAAGGGCTTACAAATTAGAAAAAAATAAGACCCTCTTCACAGATAACATGATTAACTACATGTAAAAATCTTGAAGAATCTATCCCAAAAAGCTATTAGAATTTGAAACCTACCATTTATAATAGCACTAAAACGTGAAAAACTTGGGTGTAAATCTTACAAAATATGTGTAGTTAAAAACTAAAATTGATGAAAGAAGGTCTTAATAAATACAGAGATATACTAATACCATGTTTATTGATTGGTATATCAGTGATTGTATATTGCTGAGATGTCAATTCTCCCCAAACTGATCTATAGATTTAGAGCAATTGCCCCAAAAAATCCAGCAGGATTTTTTAAATAGAAATTGACAAGCTATCCTAAAATTTATATGTAATGGCAAATGAACTAGAATATCTAAACTTTTTTAAAAAGGACAGTTGGAAGATGTATACTACCTGATTTCCAGACCTACTGGAAAACTATAGTAGTAAAGACAGTGTGGCATTGGATAAACTTGTAGATCAATGAAACACAATGGAGAGTCCAGAAATAAATCCACACAAATATGGTCAATTGATTTTTGACAAGTGTACAAAGATAATTTAGTGGAGAAAGGATAGTGTTTTCAATAATTAGTGCAGGAACAATTGGATATCCATATTCAAAACAATAACCCATGATCCATACCCATGGTCTGTACAAAAATTAACTCAGTGGATTTTAGACCTACATATAAAATGTAAATGAGATAATAATTTGACATCTACTGTAGGCCTTATTGGTAACTTATGGTATGTGCTGTTTGCTGTGGGGTTTGGAAATGTAGCATCTGTAGATCTTCACTTCTGGGCAAAACAGTATATTCATTACTCTTTCCCAAAGTGATTGATTTTAGTTATAGGTCCTATTAACCAAGGCCTTTCCTATAAAGTCTTAGTGATGCATTGGGCAGCTTAGGGAACAGTCATTTCTTTCATGGGGTTCTGCTTCCCTGTGTACAGAGTAGAGATAATACTACTGAACTGTGTCAGTTACCTGGCCACTGGTGTCAGTTTAGAGGCCAACAGAATAAAAGAATTGGGATGACTTTTAGAAATCATTTGTTTCAACTATTATTTTATAGATAAAGAAACAGGCCTACAAAGGAAAGGTACCTTTATCAAACTAAACTGTGTGGAACCAGGATTAGAATCTAGGTCTGTGTGTGTTTCTTGTTTGGATATACCCACAATGTTTGTGCTCTTTGAAGAGAGGGGGACAATTAGTAAACAGGAAGTAATGTTTATGAGCATTGTGAAGTAGGATTCAGACTTACACCATTTCTTTGCTACCTGGAAATATGCTTTAATACTGATGCAGAATGCTTCTCTTGTCTAAAATAAATGGAGAACAGATGATAATATTATCATATGATTGTTCACCAAGAGTGATTAAAAATAAATAAATAAAGATTTAGATGGCTAAACTGCTGCTAACTCTGATGGACCAAATTTGGTTCCTTATTTTTTGGTGCTGGCTAACAACAGTCAACCTGTGCTTTTCTTCCTCTCTCTCTCTCTCTCTCTCTGTGGGTATGACTCTGATTCTCTGACATATAAACTACAGCTTGTGTTCTTTGTTATTTAAGTTCCACAACTATCTGGATGAACAATACAAAGTTAATTTTAATCGGAAACCCTAATAACTGAAATACTTTTGTTCGTATTTTCTTTAGGGGCTCTGGTGAAAACAGATGAGCAGGAAGTAATCAACTTTTTATTGACAACAGAAATTATCCCTTTGTGTTTGCGCATTATGGAATCTGGAAGTGAACTTTCTAAAACAGTATGTGCTTTTAACTTAAATTCTACATTCTGTTGGCTCTTAGGCTACTTTAGGATAACTATTTTGGAAAGCTGTTCAGCAGTATCCACTATAAACATAAGCCTATTCCATGACCCAGCAGACCCATTCTTAGGAATATACCCAAGGGAAATGAGCTCTTATGTACATGAACACATTTACAAGAATGTTTATGGTAGTTTTACTCATAAAGAATAAATAAATTATAGTATAGTCACAAAATAAACTATACAGTAATTAGAAAGAATGAACTGCTGATACATGCAACATAGATGACTCTTTTAGACATATTGTTGAGCAAAAGAAGTAAGATACATATGAGTTTGTACTGTATGATTCCATTTATGTGAAATTCAATAACAGGCAAAACCAGTCAATGGGGATAAGTCAGAATAGTGATTGCCTCTCAGGGAAGAACATTGATTGGGAAAAGGTACAGGGAATCTGCCAGGGTGCTGGAAATGTTCTATATTTAATCTGGTTGTGGTTCATAAATGTGTGCATAGGTAAAAATTCATCAAGACACACTTAAGATTAGTGCAGTTTGTATACTTTACAGCTTTTATTTTTTTTAATAAGAAGCTTTTTATTTAAATATTTTATTTTTTTTACTTTTTTAGAGAAGAGAGGAGGGGAGAGAGAGAGAGAAACATCAATGAGAGAGAGAACATCAATCGTCTGCCTCCTGCACGCCCTCTACCAGGGATCAAGCCCACAACCCAGGGATGTGCCCTGACCAGGAATTGAACCGAGACCTCTCAGTCCACTGAGCCACAACAGCCAGGTTACTTTTTACATTGTGGTTGTTTTTTTTTTTTAAATTCTCACCCGAGGACTTTTTTTTTTTGCATTTATCTTCAGATACAGCAGGATGTTGAGAGGGAGGAAGAGAGAGAGAAACATCAATGTGAGAGAGACACATCAAGTGGCTGCCACCACACAACCCCAACCAGGGCCAGAGACAAACTACAACCGAGGTACGTGCCCTTAGCGGACACTGAATCTGGGTCTCTCTGGTCCACGCCAACACTCTAACTACTGAGCCAAATTGGCCAGGGCAACATTACACCTTTTATTTTGTATATGTTTTTTATTAGTTTGCTATTGCTACCATAACAAATTACTACAAGCTTGGTGGCTTAAAACTACACAAATCTTTTTCTATTACAGCTCAGGAAGCCAAGTGAAAGTCAGGGTGCCAGCAGGGCAATGTTCTTTCTGGAGACTCTAGGGGAGAATTCCTTTCCTTACCTTTTCCAGCTTCTAGAATTGCATTCCTTGACTCATTCCTCCTTCCTTTGTCTTCAAAGTCAGCAGTGTAGCATGTTAAACTCTCTCTCTGCTTCTGTAACATTGTTTTCTCTTCTGCTTCCCTCTTACAAGAACACTTGAGATGCCCTTGTTGGTGTGGTTTAGTTAGTTGGGTGTCGTCCCATGCACTGAAAGGTTGCCTTTTTACTTCCCAGTTAGGGCACATACTGGGGTAGCAGGCTCAATTCCCAGTGGAGGGCATGCAGGAGGTAACTGATCCATGTGTAGGTCTCACATTGATGTTTCTGTTTCGGTTTCTCTACTCCCCTCTCCCTTTCTCCCCTCCCCTTTCCTCACTTTAAAAAAAAACAACACATGGTTACTTTTAGGGCATACCTGGATAATCCAGGATGATTAACTCTCCCCCACCCCACCTCCATCCTTAACTTAATCACATCTGTAAAGTCCCTTTTACTATATTAAATAGTATTTACTGGGTTTGGTGATTAGATCTTTAGGGGCCATTATTAGCTAACCACAGTGTTATGCACCAGTAAAACAGTAAAATTAACTAATTCCCACAGTTGGTTCTGACAAGCAGCCAAAGAAGAAATTCTTTGTAATAACTGTTTAACTTGAATTAAACTAGTATTTTTTAGATCTCTTCTATGTAAGAGTTAATGAGTTTAAGTTGAGGATATTCATTACTATTGATGCAACAATTTTCGAAAGGAGGCTTTAAAATCTTATTACATAAAGATCTTTTAAGAATGGGAAAAGGCCCAGCTGGTGATGGTCAGTGGTTGAGCATTGACCCATGCACCAAAAGGTCATTGGTTTGATTCCTGGTCAGGGCACATGACCAGGTTTGGGGCTTGATCCCCAGAAGGGCATGTGCAGGAGGCAGCCAATCGATGTTTCTGTCGTGCTCCCTCTCCCTCCCTCTTTCTCTAAAAATCAATAAAAACATATTTTCTTAAAAATTAGCAGCCCGGCTTAGTAGTTGAGCATCAACCCATGCACCAGGAGGTCACCAGTTCGATTCCTGGTCAGGGCACGTGCCCAGGTTGTGGACCCAGTCCCCAGTAGGGGGGCATGCAGGAGGCGGCCGATGTTCTCTCATCAATGTTTCTGTCTCTCTCTTCCTTCCTCTCTCTCTGGAATCAATAAAGGAAAAAAAAAAATTAGCTGCATTTCTGCCCCTTCCACCCCAGGTAACCATTTCCAACTTTAAAAAAAAAAAAAGAGGAAAAACCTTGCCCTGGCTGGTGTTGCTCAGAGGTTAGAGTGTCAGCCTGTGCACTGAAAGGTCATAGATTCGATTCCCAGTCAAGGGCATATACCTGGGCTGCGGGTTCTATCCCCAGCCCCAACCTGGGGGCATTTGGGAGGCAACCAATTGATGGGTCTCTCTCCCTCAACCCCTGCTTCCCTTCCTCCCTCCTTCTCTTCCTCCCTTTCTCCCAACCCCCCCCCCCCCCCCCCCCGCTAAAATCAGTGAAAAAAATATCCTTGGGTGAGGATTTAAATAATAAATAGAATAGAATAGGAAAAGTCTTACCTCATTTGGAAAACATAAGGCATAACTGAATCTCTAAAATCATCTTGGCCCCTGGAAAACAGAAGAGGCTCTGTATTCAAACTAGTTTTGGATCTCAATTCTGCAACTTGGTAAAACTTTGTCATTTGGGACCTTAACCTGGCAAGTTATTATGAGTTATACCTGATAACATACATAGTATGTATTCAGTAACTGAGACAATCTCTATTTTAATCCTCACCCGAGGACATTTTTCCATTTTTTGTTCAGATAGAGCGGGAAAGGGGGGAGAGAGAAAGAGAAACATCGACTTGAAAGGGACACATAGAGTGGCTGCCTCCTGTACAACCCCAGCCAGGGCCAGGGAAGAATCGCAACTGAGTTACGTGCCCTTGACCAGAGTTGAACCCGTGACTCATTGGTCTGCAGGCCAGTGCTCTAACCGCTGAGCCAAACCGGCCAGGGCGACAGTCTCTACTTTTTAAAGAATCTGATAATTATCCAGAACCTATTCTTTTATGTATGTAAAATGAGAATAACAATGGTACCTACCTCATAGGTTGATTGTGAAAATAAGATAAGGCATGTTTTATGCCTTTAGGAAAAATTCTGACAGACAATAAGTGTTCAATATGGTAATATTTATTTTATTTTTTGTACTAGCATATCTCGTCAAGTAAGATGTATGTAATGCAAGGGTCTCTGCTTAATTTTCTGATTCATAATTATTCCTGAGAGATGAATAATAGACTGTTGGAAGACCAGTCTGAGTAACGTTTTGGATTCCTTAATTTTGTTTTACTCCAGGTTGCCACATTCATCCTTCAGAAGATCCTCTTAGATGACACTGGTTTGGCTTATATATGTCAGACATATGAACGTTTCTCCCATGTTGCTATGATCTTGGTGAGTTCTTTTATCTACCTTCTTTGCAACTACTACTGACCACACAGCTTTGTCCCTTTGTAATTGACTCTGAGCAACTTCAGTCTTCCTACTAGAAATAACAACCCTGGAACCTTTTATAATGATTCTTGCTATATCTGATCTCTGATGTCAATTAGGATCATTTTGTGTTTTATGGTTTTTTTTCCTACCCCACCCCATGTTGGGGGGAAACAGGGTAAGATGGTCCTGCAGCTATCCAAAGAGCCTTCCGCCCGTCTGCTGAAGCATGTAGTGAGATGTTATCTTCGACTCTCAGATAATCCCAGGTAAACATTTACAGGACTTATAGGACTTTGGGGAAATACTCTGCTGAATGGTTGCTTCATCTCATGGCATAACTTATATCTTTAGGACAGGGAAGGTATATAACTATATTTAGTTTATCTGAAACAGAACTGATTAATTCCTTTTAAAATTGGAAGTGCCGAATTAAAAAAATACATCAAAATTTTATTTCCCCACTATAACTCTGTATCCTACTCTAAAATTCCAGAGAGTTCAGATAGTTCACAGGAAACCTTAGGATACATTACTCCTGTGATTTGAGCTGCTACTCTAGGTGGTGAGAAAGAGAATATTTTCAGAGATCTCTTAAGAAAGGAAAGAGCCCAGAGGGTTCTCAATGTATTTTCAGTTCTCTCCTTTATTCCTGTAAAGTCCTTTAGCTAATTATTTTAGCACCCTACGTTTATAATCTTTCTGCCAGAAAGCATATATTGTAGGTATAATGCATTTTAGAAATGTTTGAACTTTTGCTTTGTAAATCCATAATTCATGCTGAAAGCCACTTGCTCCGATTTTGCTAAACCACATAATGGGGTGGTTTCTGTGTTCCTAGGAATGGGAATAACTTGATTTAATGTGAACTCCTGCCACTGAGGTTATTCAAGCTCTAGCTATTTCTTTGACCATTTTGTCCTGTTCCTTAGTGGTTCCTATTTTCACCAAAGTTTGAAAATACATTTATTTGAAATTCTGTATAGAGTTGTAACTTTGCTTAAAACTGCCTTTTACAGGGATGGACAAAAGTAGGTTTACAGTTGTGAATAAATGGAATAGAGTTTATTCTTGTATTATTTATTTGTATTATTTTCTTCTTATTGTTGTTATTATTTTGTATCCTTGCTTATGATTTATCTTTTAGGTAATGATGGCTGGTAATTTGACCTACTTTTGCCCACCCCTGTAGTTAAGTCACCTTTTTGAGGTTTTTCAGATTTGACTTTCAAAAGTAACTTGGTCAACTTTAAAAGAAAATAAAGCATGTAAAAGTTCATCTGGTAAATTTGCTACCATAGTTTTATTTTTACTGCTCACCTCTAATTAAGGGTTTTTGAAACAGTTTTTGGAAAGACAAATTTATATTAGTTTAGAATTAAAAGTTTGTTATTGTGCTATGAATCAAGTCATATTTCCTGTTGATGTACTAATTTTGGAAATGTTTCAGTTATTATAACCCATATTCCTTTCCCTTCCCTGTCTTCTACCTTCAGTTCTGGATGCCATGAATATATTGGCAATATTTACTGTAATAAATCAGAAAGCAGTTTGGATTGAAGTAAAACTATTGTACTATTTTATTCCATTTTCCTTTTTCATGAAATTCTATATTGGGACATAATTCTGAAAATGTGTGCAGGCTACAGATCCTGGAGATTCCTGAGCCTATGCCTCATATAAGCTTTAGATAATTTTAATGGCTTCTTAAAGTAACTTGCCAGAGCCATAGATTTCCAGGATTCTGTATATTTATGTCTAAGTAAGGGGCTCTTCCCTGTCCCCGAAATGTGGGTTTATTTGTTGGTCTCCCTGGTTGGTTTGTTTGTTTCTGATGCAGGGCACGTGAAGCACTGAGGCAGTGCCTCCCCGACCAACTGAAGGACACAACCTTTGCCCAGGTGCTAAAAGATGACACCACCACGAAACGCTGGCTTGCACAACTGGTGAAGAACCTGCAAGAGGGCCAGGTCACCGATCCCCGGGGTATCCCCCTGCCCCCTCAGTGATCCTCTCCTGTCCCCTCCCTCTACTCCCACAGTTGGGGAAGGGAGAGGGAACCTTCGAGGAAAACAGCTCAGGTTTTATTGCCGACCAGGAATAGACAACCTCAATGCTGAACTGCACTGGAGAAAAGAGGCAAGGTACCTCAGCTGAGGTGTATGAGCTGCCATCTCAGGATGCCTGACGACCTGGGCTCCCTCTGCTACTCCCAGAAAATGGGCTCCTGACTCAGCAGTCTGCTACCACAGCCCCAGGAGGGTGTCAACACCAGCAAATGCTGTCTTTGCAGCATGCCCAAGATGACCCTTCTCCCCCACCTCTACCTAGCCACTGGCAGGGAGAGGAGACAATGGTGATAGCAGCAGCACTCTAGGCATGGTGAACACCTGGGACCAAGCCATGTGGCATTTTTTTTATTTTGCCTTCCTGGAAGACTCAAGATGTGTCTCTTTATTCTCTCTCTCAGTATTTGTTTACTTTGGTGTTTTTTGTTTTTAAATCTCAGAAGAGGTGTGTTTAGTGGACACAAGCTGTAGTACTCAGCAAAACTTTGTCAATTGGCAGTGTTTACAAGTTTGTTAGCTGCATAAGCTCAATAAAAAGTTGGTCTGGGCATAACATCCCCTCTAGCAGACCAATAGCTGCATGAACTGTTGGGAGGAATGGGAGACAGGGGAAAGGGATAATGCCAAAGGACAGCAGGAACCCACCGCCTATTTCCCTTTCCTTTCCCTTCCCAGTCTTCTACCTTCAGTTCTGGATGCCATGAGGACCTTAACCTTGTTTTTGGCTTCAGCTGCTAGCTTTTCCAAATCTCAGTGCTTTTCCCCTTATTCATTTTCCTCCCAATTAAACTCAAAACAGATGTCTTAATTCATCAGGCTGTCCTGGAAGGATATATTGAGGGAAGAGAGATGGTGGTGGATCTCACCTTCAATACAAGTCCTCAAGATCTTTTCTGGAAGACTTAAAAGGGAGTTGCCTGGGATTAAGATGATAGGCTACTTGGTCCCATTCTTTTTTTAGTGTGAATTTCTGCAGCTCCATATGTCTTCAGGATTGTACTTGAAGCAGTGTTAGCTGAATTGAGTTAATTTTCTTCAAATTTAAGATAGAGGGCTGAGTCCACTATCTTAGTCCACTCAGTCTTTTTTTCCTTTTTCTTTTTTCCCCCCCACGCATTCCCATTTGATCTATGGGAATGACAGGGTTGCCACTAAAATATGTTTCACTCTTCATATTGTGTTAGAGAACCCCCCCTTCCTTCTCTGGAGCTTTAGGTGACTACTCAAAATCCAGTGTAAACTGCCTTGCTTTGCCCCAGTCTTTCCTCCTACCAACACCTGCTCTCTTAATCCCATCCCCAATAATAGATGAGATTGTTAATCCAACTCTAGGGAGAGACCAAGTATTTTCTGTTCACATCTCACACAATTGAAGGTGTCTCTGAACAAATTTGGGGAGGGTCCATGAGGGGCAAGCTGAGAGAAATCTTTGTAGAGGCAGTTTTGCCAACACAAGGGCTCTTTCAAGCCGACTTTCACAAAGGGAGTTGGCCTTGTTAGTTGGCTTCTGTCTCTTTAGAGCCATGAAAGTTGTTATTAAGTAGTCTAGATGTAGGAAGGGTAGGATAAGCACTTACTCTCCTGCCTTTCAAACTGAAGAGGAGAACCAAGCCAGCTCTCTGTAATCTCAAGCCTGAAGAGAAGAGGTATTGGAGGAACAGAGAAAGAGCATGGACTAGATAGACATCTTGACTCCCTTCAGCCCATAGTTTGTATCTGGAGAATCCAGTTAGGGTAACCCTAATTTTTGCCAACCACCTTCCTGCTGAGCCAAAGTTTTCTCATTCCCCCTCCACTGGGGAAGCAGCTGAGGCCCAGGGCCTTAGTCCCTGGGAAAGTCTCTTCTCTCTCCATCTTTTGGTGCATTGGCCATATTACTGTGCCAATAGTGTCTTAATTCTTGTTCCATCTATTCTCAGCTGGCCTTGGACCCCACATAGGAGTTGCAGGGGAGGGATGGAAATGGGTATTATTCCTGTAGTTGATCCTGATGTCGTGTGTGTATAACGAGACTCCTCCCCTCATTTTGTGTTTTTCATCCCTCGCATTCCCTCAACAGGATTGAAATAAAACATGCTTCTGTTTTTATAAAAATAATTTTTCTTTTAAACTGGAGATTTTGTTTTATCAGTATATAGATATCTAGGCACTTTGGTCAGATGATCCTTGTCACCCCTGCCTCTACCCTCTGTGCACCTGTACAAACACGCTGTCCTGCCAAAAGGGCATTGACAGTTCCTTTGTGGATAGGTCATTTGGGAGAGTCTTGCTGATGTATAAAAGCTGTTTGGGAGACTAGGGTGATGCCTTTTATCTGATAAAGTGTCTCTTACTGGAACAGAACCTCACTCCTGGCTGTAGTGCCCAGAACTTGGTCCTGATGTGGGTAAAGAGGTAACACTTGAAACATTTTATCACAGACTTTAATATTCATTTTCTTCTGGGATTCAAGACTTAGAGCACATCTCCAGAGTTGTTTTTATGCCTGTTTGTGGCTCTCAGTGGGACAGCGCCAACTTCTGCTTCCAGCTTCTTTGCCCCAATGCTTTAGAGGGCCTATGACTGTTTCATTGATGGAACATGGCAAGGAGAGGCATTGGTAGCTTTCAGAGCATACCTTCCTTACTATCCACACACATGATTTCCCTGCTCACTATTCCTGGTTGAGAAAGAGGGGAGATACACAAAATTATTGCTATCAAAAGCCTAAGAAAAACATCTGGAACAGGGAACCATAGAATGAAATGAGAATTTTTTCCTGAATGTTGTGGAATTTAATTTTTATATATATTTTTATTGATTTTTTTAGAGAGGGAAAAGAGGGGGAGAGAGAGAGAAACTTCCATGTGAAAGAGAAACATCAATCAGCTGCCTCCTGCATGCCACCTACAGGGTATCAAGTTTACAACCTGGGCATGTGCCCTGACCCAGAATTGAACCAGGACCTCTCAGTCCATGGGACCATGCTCAACCCACTGAGCCACACCAGCTGGACTGGAATTTAATTTTTAAAAATATTTTAATAGCCCTGGCTCGTTTGGCTCAGCAGTTAGAGCAGTGGCCCGTGGACCACAGGGTTGCAGGTTTGATTCCTAGTCCCCAGCCCTGGTTGGGTCTTGCAGGAGGCAACTAATCAATGTGTCTCTTTCACATCAATGTTTCTCCATCCCCCTACCCCCCGACCCGCCTCTTCCACTCTATCTAAAAATCAATGGAAAAATATCCTCAGGTGAGGATTAACAAAAATATGTATTTTGATATATTTATTTCAAAAGCATATATAGAGCAAAAGTTGAACAACACAACAAACCTAGCTTAACTGAAAGATAGAACACTATCCTGTAAACCAACAGTATACATACTCTTTTTAATTACACTGAAAGTATTTTACCAAAATTGATCATAACTGGACCATCAATCAAACCTCAAAAAAAATTTTTTTAAATTAATAGAATGTTCTTAGAACTGAACACATGGGATTAAGCTAGGAAAAAGAAAACTAGAAAGTCCCTAGCTGTTTAAAAACCAGGTAGTACAATCCAGCTGGTGTGACTCTGGTTGAGCACTGACCCATGCACCAAGAGGTTGCCGATTCGATTCCTGGTCAAGACACATGCCCAGGTTGTGGGCCCCATCCCCAGTGGGGGGCATGCAGGAGGCAGCCAGTCGATGTTCTCTCTCATTGACGTTTCTATCTCTCCCTCTCACTTCTCTCTCTAAAATCAATAAAGAAAAAACAGGTAGTACATAATAAGTCAGCAGAAAGATAAATAGCATATGGTTTCACTTGTGTATGGAATCCAATAGAAAAACTCAGACACAGAGAACAGACTGACAATCATCAGAGAAAAGGGGGATCGGGAGCTGGATGAAAAAGATGGGAATTAAGCAATACAAATTGGTAGTACAGAATAGCCACAGGTTTGTAGATTATAGCATGGGGAATACAGTCAATAATATGCTAAATATGTATGGGGCCACATGGGTACTTGAAGCAGCAGGGGCCACTCTTAGGTTACATAATTTTCTAACCACTTTGCTGTACATCTAGAACTAGTACAGAATAATATTGAATATAAACTGTAATCGAAAAATAAAAATTTATATCGGGAATGTGGGGAGATAAGGAGATTTGGGGTGGTGAACACAATGCAGTATACAGATGATGTATTAAATAGAATTGTACACCCGAAATCTGTAATTAACCAGTGTCACCCCCATTAAATTAAATAAACATTTTTTTATGTGTAATTCTAAGAAATAATAAGTTTAAAATTAGGTACTGCAATTCTAATTAACCCCTGGATCACAGAAAAAAATCACAAAAGGAATTTAGGAAAAAATTTTAATTGAATGATAATGAAGACATTACATATCAAAACCTGTGTTTTATGGGTAAAGCGGTACTTAAAAGAGATACATTACCTTAAATTCACACATAAGAGAAAGGCTGAAGTTGATCTAGGTTTTCATGTCAAGAAACTGGAAAAGAATAGTAAATTTAAAAAGAAGGATACCTAAAACACATCAGTGAACTAGAAAACTAATGTACAATAAATAAATCGACAAAGCCAAATAGCATTCCCTTGAAAATACTAAAATTGATAAACCCCTAGTAAACTGATCAGGAAAATACAATGTATCAACAATGTCAGAGATGGAAAAAGGGACATTTTCTTTGGTACGTGCCCCTAGCGGGAACCAAACCCAGGGACTCTGGTCCGCAGGCCAAAATTCCAACCACTGAGCCAAACCGGCCAGGGCAAAAGGGACATTTTCATGTCTTAAAGTCACCAATCTCATAAACTTCCAGAAACTACAAAAGGGAACATCTCGTTTACTTTTCGTTTTTTTTTCATCTTCACCGAGGATTTTTTTTTTTTTTTGCATTTATCTTCCGACAGAGCGGGGGGGCATCGACGTGAGAGAGACACCTCAACTGGTTGCCACCGACACAACCCCAACAGGGGACAAACTGCAACCAGGGTACATGCCCTTGGCAGGAACCGAACCCAGAACCCTCCAGTCCACAGGTCGATGCTCTAACCATTGAGCCAAACTAGCCAGGACCATCTCATTCACCTTCAAAGCAGTATGACTCAGCCACCAAAACCTGTCAAGGCTATTAAGAAGTAAAAACCAGGAGCCAAACTCCCATGAATATAGACATAAAATCTCTAGACAAAATAGGCAAATCTAGCATATAAAAATGATTATATCTAATTTGGGTTTAATACTTGAAAATGAATCAATGCACCCAGCTGGTGTGGCTCAGTGGTTGAGCGTCAACCCTTGCACTGAGAGGTTACCGGTTTGATTCCCAGTCAGGGCATATGCCCAAATTGTGGGCCCAATCCCTGGTGAGGGGCATTCAGGAGGCTGCCAGTCAATGCTTGCTCTCATCGATGTTTCTATCTTTCTCTCTCCCTTCCTCTCTCTAAAATCAATAAAGAAAAAAAATTTTTTTAAGAGTTTCTTTTAAAAAAGGAAAATGAACCAATGCAACCCACCACATAGTGTAGAGAAAAATCACACAATAATCTAGATAGATGCAGAGATGACTACAATTCAATATTGTACGTTATTCATGATTTTTTAAAAAACTAGAAATAAAAGGACACATCCTTAATCTAATAAAAAGTATCCCAAAATTCCCTGCAGTAAACCTCATCAAAATCATTATTGATAAAATATTGAAACAGCCCTGGCCAGTTTGGCTCAGCGGTTAGAGTGTTGGCCTGTGGTCCAGTGGGACCCGGGTTGGGTTCCCACTAAGGGCACATACTTTGGTTGCAGTTTGTCCCCGGCCCTGGTTGGGTTGTGCGGGTGGCAGCCACTCGATGTGTCCCTTTCATGTTGATGTTTCTCTCTCTCTCTTCCTCTCTATCTGAACAAAAAAATGGAAAAATGTCCTCGGGTGAGGATAAAAAATATATATATTGAAACATTCTCCATGAGATGAGGAATGAGATAAAGATGTTCATATCACACATCCATTTATCATTATACCGGTCCTCCCAGACAGTATGATAAGACAAGATAATAAAAGAAAATTACAAAGGGGAAAAAATGCTGGCCACATGATTGTGTACACAAATAAAAGAATCTACAAGCTATTAGAATTAAGTGAATTTTGCAAAGTCAGTATCCAAAAAATCAACTTTCTGAATACAACAATAAATAGAAAATGAAGTTTCAAAAATAGTGTAGTGTAAGAAATAAATAGCTAGAAATAGATATATCAAAAGATATGCAGAACTTTTACATTGAAAACAAATATTCTTGAAAAAAAAGGAACCTGCATAAATGGAGAGAGAACATCTTCATGACTTAGAGAACAACAACGTAAAAGGATGCCAATTTTCTCAAAAAAGGATCCAATTTTAGATCTGGTTAAATTCTAACTAAAATAGCAGCAGGTTTATTTTTGTGAAAACTGACAAGCTGATTCTAAAATTTGTATGGAAATGCAGAGTGCCAAAACAGCCAAGGCAATCATAAATGAGAAAATTGGAGTCCTCCCATCCCCAGGTATGGTCCTTTAACTTTCAACCTTTTGGTAATACCATTTTGAAGACATGAGCCTTGCCCTAGCTGGTTTGGCTCAGCGGTTAGTCGGCACGTGGACCAGAGTCCTGGGTTTGACTACGGCCAAGGGCATGTACCTTGGTTGCAGTTCATCCCTGCCCCGGTAGGGGTTGTGCGGGTAGCAACCAATCGACGTGTCTCTCTCACATTGATGTTTCTCTCTCTCTCTCCCTCCCACTCTGTCTGAAGATAAATGTAAAAATATCCTTGGGCGAGGATTAAAAAAAAAAAAAAGACAAGTCTTACAAATAGCACACGCTTGTATTTTACTATATGACCTTTTCTGAAAGGTCTCTTAAGGAATGTACCATTTGTATTTTTTATTCTAACTTCTATCCCTTTAGTCTCTGGTTTATTTTATACCTCTTTGTTTCCCCTCCCCTGGTTTTTTTTGTTTGTTTTTAATTTTGTTGGAATGGAGGATGGCTGTATATTTTCTGGTATTTTGAAGTTATATATCCTGCTTTTAATTCTACAGGTTGTCTCACTGATGATTTTTTTAATGAAATTTAATATTTTGTGTTGCCTTTGACCACCAAGAAGATGGGCTTTATTTCCGAAGTGTGAGTAGTTTGGCTGGATGGGCTCAGGAACTGGTCTCTTACTCCCTAGCCTGACTCTCCCCAAAAGAAACATGTTTAGGGTATCTCTCCTGCGTGTCAGGAGGAGGGTCTAGTCTTGTCTGGGTGGCAGCCATGAGAGTATAGCATTTAGGTCTTCCTCTGCCAGCTGTACCTTCATTTCAATTTAGGGCTTCTAGGCCTTTCCTGGGCATGGTTCCCAGAAAGTCCCTGTGCTGCTACTGCCCTGATCAGGTTTCTGGATCTGTTAATAATAGGAAGCAGTGGGGGATGGGCCAGGATCATTATGGAAATAGGAATAACCAAACCAGATGGACAGTCAGTTCCTGTGCCTAGGGCCGTCTGTCTGCTCCCTTCCTGTTCTAAAGAGCATCCTGCAATGGGCTTGTCTTCCAAGCCACTCTTTGGAGCTATTCTAACCTATGAAGATCTCCAAGTGCCTGCCCCCAAAATCAGAACGCATGATCTGGGAGCATTGTTTGTGAGGACCCTGAAACAGAATATTTGAGATCTGGACTCTCCCAGAAAAATCCAGGATGAATGAGAATACTCACAAAACATCCAGAAAGGAAGGAGGTTGGGCAGCAGTTAGGTGAAAAAAAAAAAAAAAAAATAGAGACTCAGAAGCAAACCACATATAATCCTAGAATGTCAAGTAGAAATGGGAGAGTGAGCCCGGCCGGTGCAGCTCAGTGGTTGAGTGTCGACCCATGCACCAAGAGGTCACCAGTTGAATTCCCAGTCAGGGCACATGCCCAGGTTGTGGGCCCAATCTCAGTGAGGGGCATGCGGGAGGCGGCCAGTCAATGTTCTCTCTCATTGATGTTTCTTTCTATCCCTCTCCCTCTCTAAAAAGAAAGAAAGAAAAAAAAAACTTGCCCTGGCCAGTTTGGTTCAGCGGTTAGAGCGTCGGCCTGCGGTCCTGAGAGACCCGGGTTCGGTTCCCGCTAAGGGCGTGTACCTCGGTTGCAGTTTGTCCCCGGCCCTGGTTGGTTGTGCGGGTGGCAGCCACTCAATGTGTTCCTTTCATGTCGATGTTTCTCTCTCTCTCTCTCTGTTCCTCTCTCTCCCTCCCACTCTACCTCAACAAAAAATGGAAAAATGTCCTCGGGTGAGGATAAAAAAAAAAAAAAGAAATGGGAGCCCTGGCCGGTTTTGCTCAGTGGTTAGATCATCGGCCTGTGGTCCGGAGAGACCCGGGTTCGGTTCCCGCTAAGGGCATGTACCTCGGTTGCAGTTTGTCCCCGGCCCTGGTTGGGTCATGTGGGTGGCAGCCACTCGAAGTGTCCCTTTCACATCGATATTTCTCTCTCTCTCTCTTCCTCCCACTCTATCTCAACAAAATGTTAAAAAATGTCCTCTGGTGAGGATTAAAAAAAAAAGAAAGAAAGAAAAAAATGGGAGAGTGAGACCAGCATGTGAGACACGGCCTCAATTAATTAAAATCTGAGATTAGCATAGTTTAAATATTGATATCCCTCTAATCTTTCTGTTCCCTATGATGACCTCCCTCTTCTGCCTACCCTCTCTGTATACTCCTCTTCCTTTATCAAAACCTGCTCTCACTAAAATGTAAACATAACCTAGGAATAAATTGTGAAAAACCAGTAAGGCTTTAGGAATTACCAGTTGCAAAAATCTGAAACCCTCTTATTATACAATATAACACAGATACAGAAAACTACATAAAGAAAATGTATAGCTTAATATGTTGTTATAAAGTGAAGACCCTTTTTAGTACCCAGAACTGGAACTAGAACTGCCAGCTATTTCAGAAGCCAGATCCGTGCCTTATTCCACCACAATTCCTACCTCCTCCCAAAAGCAACCACTATTTATGGTAATCACTTAGGAAGATTTTATTTTAATGGGACTAAAGTTTAGCTATAAATAATCACTAATGGTAGAATATTGGGCAGTTGAGGGGTGTGTGGAGGAGCCATGAGAGGCAGCTAGATCTCAGCTCACTTAAAATCACATTTCATACAGTTAGTTCACTCTCTGCCTATGATTAAGACAGACCTCACTGGAAAACGATCCCACAGAAGTCAAAGTGCAGGACTGTGTCCTATGCCTTCAGCTCTTACTGTCATCTATTGGTCCAGAAAGAGCCATACTGTGCAGTCTTTCTACAGCAGAGCAAAAGTAGGTCTCAGCTCACAGTGCTTGGGAGAATGCAAGGGACTGGTTGTCTCTGCTGTTGATATGTGAGTCAAGGACACTGCCTATACTTCCCTGGGCCTCAGTTTCTCACTGTGAAGTATGGGGCCATAACAAAGCCCTCTACAATCGCCTATTCCTCTCCTAACTTGGTTCTCTTTCCTTATTCTTGGTTTCTGTTTCACCTGCCTATTCATTCACTCTTATATAAAAAGCTCATTACCCTCCTTTCCCAGCAGGGTCTTTCCAGTCTTGTGCTGCTTTTTGCCCTTGATTCTTACACACCATGAATCAGTTTCATTTCTACACTCACCTTTATAAACACAAGTGTATGTCCTTGCACATTAGAGGTGCTGAACAAATGCTTATTGAATGAGTGAATGAATGTAAAGGAAATACAAATGAATTCCTGTATACATTCCTTAAATATTTAGCGAGTGCGTATTATAGACACACAGATACTAACCTGTCCCTGTGCACTCTAAGATCATTCCTCTCCTTCCTTTTTCCTCATCTTCCTTTTCCATCCTATTCCCTTTTTTCTTTCCCTGTGCCATGGAGCTAGACTGAGTACCCTGCAAGGCAGCATGCAGAGATACAGAAGCAGGCAGGCTGGTGGAAATGGACACCATGGAAAAGAGCAAGATGAAATAAGGGCAAGACAGCTGTATAACATGCAGAGGGAAACCAACCAGAATGAAAAGCCGTGATTCATGGAACACTGCAACTCAGATCCTCCTTGGATTTCACTTTGAGAGCTCTGGCTGGATTGGGGTCAGTGAGGGCTGGCATCAAGATGAAGGGCAGCCAGGCTCCTCCTCCCTGGAGATGTGGCTCCAATCCCTCCCTTTAATCCTTTTCTACCCACTCTACCCCCACGACTCCCTCACTGACCAGTGTCCTGGGCCTTTAAGAGTTGGATGGGCTGGACTGAAGACAGCTCACACTTCTCCCCACCTCACTCCTTCCTTCTGGCTGCAACTGCCAGTCACAGCAGCAAACTGCAGTAGAAGAGGGGAGGAAGCCAGCCAGTGCAAGAGGAACAAAGGAGAAAAGGAGCCGGCTGGGTTTTCTCATTTCACAGTGGAGAGCATCGCAGAGTTCACAGATACAGGACTGCTCTCCCGCACACGGTAAGGGACTTGGAGGCTTTGACCAGCCTCCGTTCCAACCTCTGTCCTGCCTGAGTCCCTAGCTCTGCCTTCCACATGCTTTTCCGCCCTGATTAAATTGCACTCTGGCCCTGGCGAGTATAGCTCAGTTGGTTGGAGCATTGTCTCGTACACCAAAGGGTTGCAGTTCAATTCTCAGTTGGGGCATATACTAGATGCAACCAATTGATGTTTCTCTCTCTCTTCGATGTTTTTTTTTTCTCTCTCTCTCCCCCCTCCTCTTTCTCGAAAATCAATAAACATATCCTAGGTGAGGATAATATATATATATCACCCAGGACTCCTTTGCCAGAACAGGTCCACAAGGCTCTGACTTCCTAGTTCTCTTTAGTATCCTCTTTGACTTACAGTTTTCCTACTAACTGGTGTCAGTTACCCCTTTATTATGGGACTTCTTAGCTACCCAGGACAGCCACTCAGAGGTGAGCTCACCATAGTAAGGAAAGAGAAAATTGGAGTAGCTATGCTTTAGCATAGATTCATTAACAGATTATTGAGGATTACCTAATGAGGGTTGGCCAAGACCCATGTGGAGGATAGAAAATCTGGTAATTGGAAGAGAATTATGAGACTTCCTTGGAAAGAGCTAGTGTTTGAATTCTGTACCTCGTTCTTCACCTGCTCACTGGACCAGGACAGTTTATTGGCATGCCCAAGTTCTGTTCTGGGAAGAGCACTTGCTTCTAGTCCTGACTTTGCCATCAACCAGGTATGTATATGACTTGATCTCAACTTTCTGATCTGAGATAAGAGGAAGTTTAAGGTTTCCTAGACTTACTGTGTATCAGGGGTGCTTGGTAAAAATAAATCTACCTGCGCCCTGGATGGTTTGGCTCAGCAGTTAGAGCATCAGCCTGCGGACCGGAGAGACCTGGGTTCAGTTCCCGCTAAGGGCATGTACCTTGGTTGCAGTTTGTCCCCAGCCCCATTTGGGGTTGTGTGAGTGACAGCCGGTCGATGTGTCTCTCACATCAATGTTTCTTTCTCTCCCTCCCTCCCTCTCTCCCTCCTGCTCTATCTGGAGTGCAAAAATGTCCTTGGGTGAGGATAAAAAAATAAAAATAAAAATAAAAAAATAAATCTACCTGAGCCTCATCCTTGGAATTTCTGATCTGGTAGATTTGGGGTGGGGCTAAGGAATCTCTGTTATAAGACACTCTCCAAGGAATATTGATATAGCCAGGAACTTCTGGACTAGATGTGTTAAAAGAAAGTCTTCAAACCCTAACATTCTGAGGGCCATTCTCAGACCTATGTCTGGAGCCATTCTGTCCTCTTTATGTGAACCAGGTCAGGCATAATCCTGCTCAGAAGCAAAAGAGTAGACAAAATGTAATGACTTAGAAGAAAAAAAAGATTAGAGCCCTGGCTGGTTTGGCTCAGCGGTCAGAGCGTTGGCCTGCGGTCCAGAGAGACCCGGGTTCGGTTCCTGCTAATGGCATGTACCTCGGTTGCAGTTTGTTCTCAGTCCTGATTGGGTCATGTGGGTGGCAGCCACTCGATGTATCCCTTTCACATCGATGTTTCTCTCTCTCTCTTCCTCCCACTCTATCTGAACAAAAAACAGAAGAGTGTCCTCGGGTGAGGATAAAAGAAAAAAAGAGTAGACAAAATGATTATCTTCCAGTGCTTACAGCTCTTTTTGAATTTGTCTAGTAGGTCTTTCGGTTTTCACCGGAAGGCCCTCCCTATTAAAAAAAAAAATTATTATCTTCCTTCCTGCCCCTCAGAGAGACCTGAAACACCCTGAATTCCACTGTAATGCCATTGACAATTCTGCCAAAGTCCATGTCTAGGTGACATAAACTACCTGGAAGTAGAGGACCAAATCTTGCTAGGCAGCCCTGGCCACTTCCCACCTTATTTTGTGTCTCTGTTTTCTCATCTGTATTATTGAGAAAAGTATCTGTATCCTTGAGGATCTCCACATGCATGTCCACAAGTGAACAGTTAAGACTAAGTCTCTTACCCCATCTTCATCTTCTCCTCACTGCTTACTCTTGCTCTTGCTCTTACTCCCACTCCTTAATCCTTTGTGTCTTCTCTCCTAACTGCACCTGCATCAGCTGTGAGCATCCTTCCCATTTTACCTTCAGATGCCAGAGGAAACACCAAGAACACCTGGGTTCTAAGTCGCATTCTCTGGGCAGTTTGTTTAGTTAGTCTCCTAGGATACGGAGGAATGAGAAGCTAAGCAGAGGGATGTGCTACTGGACCACAGTTTCAAAATCCTCACAGGAGCTGAGAACCAGAAAAAAAGAGAGGAAGAAGTGATGGGGAGAAGGATGAGAAGAGAGCAAAGAGAAGGTGATAAGTGAGCAAATAAGGAGGCACAGGGGATAGGAACGAAAATAGTGAGTGAGGGAGAACAGAAAAGGAATGGGTCAGGCAAGGATGGGGAAAGGGGGTAAAATGAAAAGAAAGAAAAGAAAAGCTGTTTCGTGGGATATAGAGGAAACAGAAAATGATGGAAGGGAGAGAAAAAAATTTATATTCCTTATTGATTCTTAGCCCTGCTTTAACCTGCTTTCTAGAGAACACCCTTTCTAAGAGTAGAGCCTTGGTGAGATTTCTGAGCTGGTCATATGGAGACCTTGGTTCTTGTCCCATTTCTGCCACTTAATTCACTAGGTGACTCTGGCAGTTGAGCTAATCTTTCTAGTGCTCAGTCCTTTTCTCTATAAAATGAAGTCCAGCTCTGACATTCTGTAGCTCCTTGTGTTGAAATAGGCCCTCTTATAAATGGCCACATGTCACCTGGATACAGATTTAAAATAGTGATTCAGGAATAGAAGGAGGATTTGAAGAGCATGCCAAGTCCAGGGGCTAGAAGTATTTGACAAAAGAGGATAAAATAATCTTTTAAAGCTGGTCTGAGAGGAGGTAGGCTTCAAAATAGGGGCATCCAATATTTGGCTTCCCATGTTTTAGAACATTATGGTGTGGCGTAGGGGGAAGTAATTCTGTCTTCTCTCAGGGCCAAGGTTCACCCCTTCCCAAAGTCCCTATGCCCCAGACATGGCAGCTGAAGTTCAGAGAGGAGATAAGGTAGGATGTTGGCAAGGGGGTTTAGACTTCAGCCCCAGGCTGAGCCCCCTACCCATATCCCATCCCAGAGTCTGAGGACTTGAGATTCTTAAGAGGGGCTTGTTTGTTACTTTCTACTTCAGTATTCATATAGCTTTTGCAAGCCTCATATTTCAAACTGTGCATCTCTACTCAGAAAAGTAAAGATGCTTTTCTGTCTCCCAGGAAGCACTCTAAGACTCTTCCATCCAGAGTTTCCTCACCGAGGCTCACATATTCAGTCTCAGCCAGCAAAACCTTTTCTTCTTGGAACTGTTGCAGGGTTCTTCTCTCCTAAAAGATGCCTTCAATTCTCTTTCCCACTTAGTACAGACTGATTCCCAACCTTCTCCTCTCCCTCTGGACACCTGCACATTGCTACTCATTTAGAAAGGCTTCTCTAGGTGCTGCAGTCAGGGAAACTGTATTTTTCAGTGACCTCTACCTTCTTTCCAAATACTTAGTTACCCCCTACTGACTTTATAGGCTCTTCCCACTAAAGAGACATAAGGTACTAATATGCTTTGTGACCTCAGACAAGTCACGTCCCATTTCTAGACTTCTGCTTTTTCATTTGTAAAATATAGGGAGTTGAGCTGCATGATGTTTTATTTTTTTTTAAATATGTTTTTATTGATTTTAGAGAGAGAGGAAAAGAGAGGGAGAGAGAGAGAGAAACATCAATGTGAAAGAGAAACATTTAGTGATTGCCTCCCACACACCCTGACCGGGAACCAAACCCACAACCTGGGCACATGCCAGGACCGAGAACCCAATTGGCAACCCCTCAGTGCATGGGACAACACTCAGCCAACTGAGCCAAACCAGCCAGGGCTGCAAGATGTTTTAATGGAGCACTAATCAAATGATTGCTTTAGAGATTCTTTTAGTTTTTTTTAGATATTCACAAATGCCAAAATTTTAAACTTATTAATTAAAAGGCACATTTTTATTCAAATGTAGATTCTTTGCTTATACAGAGGTTTATGTTTCATGGACTTTGCCAATTTCAGAATGATTTGGTCAAGAATTGAGCATTTCTGCCCAGCCAGTGTGACTCAGTGGCTGGAGTGTCATCTCAGAGGTTGTTGGTTTGATTCCTGGTCAGGGCACATGCCCAGGTTGTGGGCTCGATCTCCACTATGTGGTGTGCAGGAGGCAGCCAATTGATGTTTCTCTCTCATCGATGTTTCTGTCTCTCTTCCCCTCTCGCTTCCTCTCTATCTAAAAAAAAAAAATCAATAAAAATATATTTATTAAAAAAGTATTGAGCATTTCTTACAGAGGCAGAGCTAGACTCAAAGTGGCCACATATCAAATCTTTTAGTTCTTTCAAAGGAAGTTTTTTGTTGTTAAAATGACAAATGAACCAGGTCCTAAATTAGCATATATCATAAATAGGTACTCTTTTTTAGTAGGTAGAGAAAACTTAAAAATGCAGTTCTGAGCCCTGACCGGTTTGGTTCAGCAGAGAGAGCATTGGCCCACGGACCAAAGAGTCATGGGTTCAATTCCAGTCAAGGGCACGTACCTTGGTTGCAGTTTTTCCCTGGCCCTGGTCAGGGTTGTATGGGAGGCAGCCAGTCAATGTATCCCTCTCACATTGATGTTTCTCCCTGTCTCTCCCTCCCTCCCACTCTATCTGAGGATAGATAGAAAAATATTCTCAGGTGAGGATTTAAAAAAATGCAGTTCTGAGACTTTGTTATTTATATGGCCCATTAAAACTGTGAGAAGAACTTGTGAAAAGGAATATAAAATATGCTTTACCATGTGAAGGTAGAAGAAGATGGCTTATTTAGCTACATACAGCATGAAGTTTTGTAGAAGAAACAAACAAACAAACAAACAAAAACACTTCAGGAGCCCTGAGTGAGTAGCTCATTTGGTTAGAACATTGTCTTGATACACCAAGGTTGTGGGTCAATCCCCAGTCAGGATACATACAAGAATCAAACCAATCAATGAATAAATAAGTGAAGCAACAAATTCTCTCTCTCTAAAAATCAATTTAGCCCTGGCCAGTTTGGCTCAGCAGTTGAGCATCGACCTGCGGACCAGAGAGTCCCGGGTTTGGTTCCCACTATGGGCATGTACCACAAAAAAAAAGAAAAATGTTCATTCGCCCTGGCCGGTTTGGCTCAGCGGTTGGAGCGTTGGCCTGCGGACCAGGGAGTCCTGGGTTCGATTCCTGCTAGGGGCACGTACAAAAAAAAAAAAAAAAAGAAAAGAAAAATCAATTAAAAAAAAAAAAAGAAACACTTCAGGAGCTGGGTGATCTACATAGGAACTTAGAGCGGGCTCCCAGAATAGGGAAGGTATATGATTCCATCTGGAGAAGAGAAGACAAGGATGTAGAGATTCCAGGTTCTGCAAGGGCAGCTAGCAAGATGGTGGTTTTTGATAATGAGGAGCTGAACAGTGTGACACGAGGCTGTCCTGTGGATTATAGGATACTAGGAAAGCGAAGGAAGGGTATTTGTCAGAAAGCCCTGGTTTAACTCTCTCTGGAGATGGCTATAGGAAACACCAGAGGTTCTGGAATCAGACATACTTGGCTTTAAATTCTGAATCCCTATGTGATTTGAGACCGGTTTCTTGGCCTCTCTAAGCCTTATAGTCACCAAATTCAAATTAGAAGTAAAACGAGCCCTGGCCAGTATTTTCAGTGGTTAGAGCATTGGCCCAAGCACTGAAGAGTATCTGGGTTGCTGGTCTGATCCTTGGGGCACATGCGAGAGGCAATTAATTGATGTGTGTCTCTCACGTTAATGTTTTCCTCTCTCTCTCTTCCTCCCTGCCTCCCTCCCTTCCACTCTCTCTAAAAAGCAATGGAAAAAATATCCTTAGGTGAGGATTAACAAAAAAAAAAAAAGTAAAAAGAGCTACAGACTATAAATGAAATGCTTGACACATAGTGGGCTAAAACCAAGATTAACCCAGTCTTTTGCTCTTTACTCCTTCAGGTGACTCTGGCGCCAGCTGGTAGAACAGTGGGTAATGGCATCCCTGCTTCAAGGCCGTGAGTACACCTGCAGAAGAGGGCTTGGGGAGACAGCCCAGGGATGGGGAGGAGGTTGAACCCCTATTCAAGAGCTCCTCCTGGGCCCTCCACCACCCTGGTCGGCTATGCAGCCCCTGTTTCTCCTGGCCCAGGGCTACCCGTCAATCAGGACGTGCTGCTGATGCAGAAAGGTACGCTGATGCGCAAGGTGAGATCCAAAAGCTGGAAGAAGCTAAGATACTTCAGACTTCAGGAAGATGGCATGACAGTCAGGCATGCCCGGCAGGCTGGAGGCAGAAGCAAGGCCAGCTGTGAGTGATATGGATAGCTAGGGGTGGGCTTATGGGTGGAGAGAATCCTGAGGAGCCCAGCAGCCTGTGGCCAGGAGAGAAACCAGGGTCCTATGATGTGCCCTTGTGCTGTCCCACTTGTATGTATCTCTGAGTCTATAAAGTGGAAATTATAACAGTACTTGCCTCTTAAAGCTGCTATTAGGATTAAATCAGGTATTGCATGCAAAGGGCTTAGAATAGTCCTGGCACATAACACAGCTCAGTAAATCATAGGTTATAGCTTATTATTTTTATTATAACAAGAGCATGATCTCAGGTATCTGACTGTCTGGATTAAAGCCCTGGCTCTGTCACTTTCTAGCTGAGTGGCTTTGGAAAAGTTACTTAAACTAAGTTTCAATTTCCTCATCTGTAAAATGAGGGTTAAACAGAACCCACTAGTAGGTTATAAGGACTCAATAAATTAATATCTAAAGTGTGAGACCTGCAACCAGATACATTTAATAAATATTAGCCATATGGTGAATATTTTAAAATATCATACATGCATCACAGGTGTGCATTCTATTGGCTGAACACTTTATGATTCCTCTATAAATCTGATCACAGGACACATCTAAGAGAGTCTGCTTTAGAGACAATCAAAGCTCGTGATCTACACCACCCCCAGCTGAGGAAAGGGGGTGAAAGAATTTTTCTGGCACCCTCCTCTCTGGAAAGAAGAAGCCCTCAAAACTAGAATGGGAGAATTGAAATTGGGCATATCATACTTTGGAGTAACTGCTACCCTGCAACTGGGCTTCCATTTGCCAGTCTCACCAGTCCTTTTGTGATCACCACGTATACTGGCCATGTAAGAGACCATCCCTTATTTAAGATGAGGACACTTAGGGTTAAGTTATTTTGTTTGTGTCATACTGCCAGCTGACATCTGGAAGCCAGGTCTTGCCATTCCCAGCATAGGCACCTTGCTATGCTGTCTATCAACCTACCAATGATTCATGTGGAATCCTGAGTCCTGAGTCTCAGAGGTCTGCATCTCCCTATACTAAGGCTTTTGGGATTTTAGCCTGTGGAGGCTGGGGTTCCTCCTCTCTGTCTTCACAGAGAAGAAGGGAGTGATTAATGGTCCTTGACCCTTAGCTCCGGCAATTTGGTGAATTCTCTTCCTCAGTCCCCCAACTTGCTTCTTTTCTGGCAGTCTCAATTTCTGACGTGGAGACAGTGCGTAATAGCCATGAGTCCGAGTTGCTGCGCAGCCTGGCGGAGGAATTTCCCCTGGAGCATGGTTTCACCATCGTCTTCCATGGCCGCCGCTCCAACCTGGACCTGGTGGCCAACAGTGTTGAGGAGGCCCAGATTTGGATGCAGGGGCTCCAGCTATTGGTGGACTTTGTCACCAGCATGGACCAACAGGAGTGGCTGGACCAGTATCAGCAGTATGGAGTCAGAGTAGGGTCCGGGGTCACTGAAGGAGCAGATGCTGCAGGGCTAGGGACAGGTGGGAGCGGGTCCAGGTCTTGGGAAGCCCAAGAGTCCAGATGGGATGGGTAGGGATAGCTTAGACTGATGTGAAGCTGAGAAAACTGAAGGAGGAATTGAGATTTGAGATGGCAAAGGCATAGCCAAGTAGAGATTAGGTATGAATCAGGCCCCCTAGAATTGGGGGAAGGGACAGCAAGGGGCCAAGGACTAAACAAGATGCTAATCCTGAGAGCTGAGCAGAAGATCCCTGTGGCATTAACTACCACAGGGGTAGGAAGCCCCTTAGAAGGCTTAATGGTGTCAACTCATTTCAAGTTTACTAGATTGTATTCACCTGTATTCCAGTGTGTTCGTTTGTTCATTCATTCATTCATTCATCCATGCACCATCTTTGTTTTTGTAATTTTTTTCTTTATTGATTTTTTGAGAGAGAGGAAGGGAGAGGAAGAGAGAGATAGGAACATCGATGAGAGAGAACATTGATTGGCCGGGCACCTTCTGCATGCCCTCTACTGGGGATTGGGCCCACAACCTGGACATGTATCTGACCAGGAATTGAACTAGCAACCTCTTGGTGCATGGGTCGACGCTTAACAACTGAGCCACACTAGCCATGCCCATTCACCATCTATTAAGCAGACTATATCAGGCACTATATGCCAGGCTTTAGGGATACAAAGATAAGTGGGACTCAGATATTGTTTTTGTCTGTGGAGAGGATGGAATTGTGTAAATAATCTAAGTATCATGGAACTCTTATGGTTCTTAGATTATTTGAGGGTGTTCAAAGGAAGGAGAAATATTTAATTCTAGCTGAGAGGGTTCTGAGGAAGCTGTAGGAAGGAAGCAGTATTTTAGCTGAGCCTTGAAAATGAGTAGAATTTGAACATGAAGAGAGAAAGAGGGCAAGGCACTACTGCCTGAAGGAATAGCACGAGTAAAGGCCCAGAGATAGGAAATTGAAGAGCTGGAGAGCTGGGACATCAGAGAGCAGGGTGTTTAGATAAAGTACAGGAAGGACAGAGATGTGTTGAGAAGACTAGGTTGGGGCCAGATCATGGGGACGCAGGAGATCTTAACTTCTATGTTAAGGAATCTGGGCTTTCTGCAGGCAACAAAGAAGTCCCTGCAGGCACCTGAACCATGCAGTAATAAGATAGATAGGTACTTTGGGAGATTATTCTGGAAGTTAATGTGGAAAATTAATTCGTGTGGGGGATAGACAGCAAAGACAGAGAAAGATGTCAGTGGATGAACATGCACACACATCTGCACACACAAGCACACACAGTGCTTTTGCCTTAACTCAGACCTGGATGGCTTAGTGATTGGTTCCAGCGTGGAGACAAAAACCAGGATGGTAGGATGAGTTTCGAAGAAGTCCAGCGGTTACTGCACCTGATGAATGTGGAAATGGAACCAGAATATGCCTTTCAGCTTTTCCAGGTGAGTCTTCCAGGCAGGGATTTGCAGAAGCTAGCCAAGGCCACGTTCTCACTTGACCAGAAGTACTCTAACCCTATCCAACAACACTCATTTATTGAATCTCTGTTATGTGCCCTTACCACTATCCAGGTTTAATGGGACGTGTAGGCCATGGTTCTTACTCTTCAGTCTTGTTGGAAAGATGATTTATAACCTTATGAAAGGTAAATAATAATATGTTATTATGTCAGACCTCAAGGACCTCTCTGTCCATGGCCAGACTTTCACAGGTGCCTAGTACAACAGAAAACTCCAGCTAGAATATGACTAAATAGGAAGAGGGACATTTTTACCTTTGGGGGCATTTAAATTCTTTCTAGTTGAAAATTTTCTCTAGTAGCAAATTATATTGCTGAAATTTTGCTTTTTACTTACTGAAGTGGCTTCTTCTATGAACATTAAATATCAGGTGTTCTGTGGAAGCATATTTGGATCCATCTGTTAGTAAAACTGTTCGTACAAAACAAGTCATGACCATAAAAGTTGCTGTTAAAGGATTTGCTTACTCTCTTCTAAACCTTCTTGCAGGCAGCAGACATGTCCCAATCTGACACTCTGGAGGGAAAAGAATTTGTAGAGTTCTATAAGGCATTGACTAAGCGTGCTGAGGTGCAGGAACTGTTTGAAAACTTTTCCGCTGATGGGCAGAAGCTGACCCTGCTGGAATTTGTGGATTTCCTCCGAGAGGAGCAGAAAGAGGGAGACCGTGCTTCTGACCTTGCTCTAGAACTCATTGACCGCTATGAGCCTTCAGATAGTGGTAAGAAGACCAGAGCAGAGAGGCACCAGACATGGGGGCAGGGAGAGAGACTATGACCAGAAAGGTCCAGAGACCAGCAGCCTTCTGCCTAACTCAAGAAAAGCTGAGTCCACCCCTACACTGATCCCCTGCCCAATCATTTTCTCATTTAACCACTCTGGAAGGAAAGCAGCCATTTCTTGCCCTGATAAGACAGAATTCTCTTCTATAATGCTAGCTCTCTTAGTACGAATAACATTTCACCAGACCCCTTTCCTCCACCATGTTCATGTTGCACATCCTTCACTTGCAGAAAGTTCTTCCTGATATCAATTTTTGGCCTCAGTGGAAACGAAAAATCCTTGGTCTTCTTGCTTTGTCCTCTTCTCCTCTATTGCATATAATTCCTTTTCCTGTAGTTCCCTTCATGGTTCCTGTTTGCTATCTCTTTATTTAAATAAAATAAATAAATAAATAAATTTTTCTATATGGATTTTTAGGGTGAGGGAGAGAGAGAGAGAAACATCGATGAGAGAGAACATCAATTGGCTCCCTCCTGCGTGGGCACCACTGGGGATTTGGCCCACAACCTGGGCATGTGCCCTGACCGGGAATCAAACCAGTGACCTCCTGATACATGGGTCGACGCTCAGTCACTGAGCCACACTGGCTGGGCATGTTTGCTATCTCTTTAAATGCTGGCTCTCTTTTCTTTCCTGGGCTTTCTCCAAATTTACCAAGTGGTTCATGAAGTCTCTAAGCCCCTAAAAGCCCTAGGAAGCTAGTCAGGCCCTGGCTGAGGGGGATGATGATGAAGCCGATCATTTAGCTTTTATTAAACACAACTAATATATGCCCTCTCTGCTCTCAAACTTTACTCCTTGCTTTTTTAGTAGACATCTTCCTGCTCTCCATTCCCTTCAGAATGTGAGGAATTTACATTATTAATAATAAATTATTTACAAGGCACTTTCACATGTCTTACTTCATTTAATCCTCACTACAACCTTGTAAATCAATGTTGGGCCTTTGCCAAGTATTCCATAATGTGCCAATATTTCTACATGCCCTTTCTCTTCTAATCCTTCCAATAACCCGTTGAAGTACGTTCTATTATTGAATCAGTTGTGCAAAAGAGAAAAATGGAAGTTTAGAACTTAAGTGACTTACTCAAAGCCAACAGCTAATGAGAGGAGGAATTGGAATTCAAACTCAGGACATCTGATTCTTATTTGGTGCCTCTTGAGAGTGAGGATTAGAGATGAGATGAATGAGAGATGAACAAGTGACCCAGGTTTCCTGTTTCAACTACTACTTCCTTTCATTCATTTATTTACTCACACACTACTTCAGCTAATGCTTATGGAGTACCTAAATGTGCCAGGACTTATGCTAGGCACCAGAGATACAGTAGTAGGTCAAGACAAGGACAATGAATTCATGGAACTTGGAGTCAAACAGAAAGTGTTGAAATTGGCAATTTCAGATTCACGTGAATGCTCAGAGAAGAGGGCTGAAAGCATTCATTTCAGAAAACCACATAGAAGACAGAGTTAAGAAATTGAATCTTTGCCCTGGCCGGTTTGGCTCAGCGGTTGGAGCGTCGGCCTGCGGTACAGAGAGACCCGGGTTCCGTTCCGCTAAGGGCATATACCTCGGTTGCAGTTTGTCCCCAGCCCTGGTTGGGTTGTGTGGGTGGCAGCCACTCGATGTGTCCCTTTCACGTCGCTGTTTCTCTTTCTCTCTCTTCCTCTCTTTCCCTCCCACTCTATCTGAACAAAAAATGGAAAAATGTCTTCGGATAAGGATAAAAAAAAAAGAAATAGAATCTTCTATTGCCAGTGCAGGACCCAGGATACATCAGTTACGTTTATTCTACCCTCCTCTGGCACTTGACTCTCAGATACTATACTCTGTTTGCAGGGTAGTATCAGTCAAGAGACCCTGGCTCAAGTTCCCACTCTGCTTCTTTCTAACCTTGGGCAAGTTGCTTAATCTGAGACTCAATTTTCTCACTTTTAAAATAATTGGTGATCAAATGAAATAATGCATATAATAGTATCTGGCAACTGTGGACTTAACTTAGTGATCTGATGTATTACTGTAAAGAATGAAACTTGCTGTCATTCTCTAGCATCTCCAGGCCTTGTCAAACCTGGAACAAGGAAGCTGGTATCAGAGTCTAATTATTCTGTCTCCTACAGAAGCCCCCTGCATCGCTCTGGCCGGTTTGGCTCAGCGGTTAGAGAGTCGGCCTGCGGTCCAGAGAGACCCAGGTTCGGTTCCCGCTAAGGGCATATACCTCGGTTGCAGTTTGTCCCCAGCCCTGGGTGGTCGAGCGGGTGGCAGCCACTCGATGTGTCCCTTTCACATTGATGTTTCTCTCTCTCTCTCTTCCTCTCTCTCCCTCCCACTCAATCTGAACAAAAAAATGGAAGAATGTCCTCAGGTGAGGAAAAAAAAAAAAAGAAGAATCCCCCTGCATCAATGTTACCCTCAGTGAAGCTGCACAGCCCAGTGGTATAGGGTGTGGCTTTGACACCTTGCTGCCTGGGTTCAGATCTCTAAACTTACTGGTTATGTGACCTGGGATAAGTTACCTAACCTCTCAAGGCAGATTATATTGCATCTACCTCATTGTATTGGTGAGAGCATTAAGAGAGATGTTGCATGTAACATCCTTGGCATAGAGCAAGTGCTCAATAACTGTTAGTCATCATTGTTGCTAATATATGAAGCCTATGCTGAAATGGGTGAGGGCTATGGAAAGAGTGACAGGACTCTACCCTTGAAGAAAGTGTAGTCCAAGGCAATGTTTGACATTCCTCAAAACACTATATGGGAATTGATACTAGGAAGAAACCCTCAGATCATAGTTGGCAGCAGCTACACAGACCAGGGAATAAAACAAAGGTACTTTGGTTGTGTCGCTAACAAGTTGATTTTCTCTGGGACTGTTTTCCTATCTATAAAATTACCCCTTCGGACTGAATACTGTGTTGTCCATTATGTTAGCCAAGAGCTCCTTGTGACTGTTTAAATTTCAATTAACTAAAGTCAAAATTTAGAATTCAGTTCCTGCTCTGCCTGGTGTGGCTTAGTTAGTTGAGCATTGTCCCTTGCACCAAAAGGTCACTGATTCAATTCCTGGTCAGGGCACATGCCCAGGTTGAGGGCTTGATCCCTTGTAGGAGGCATGTAGGAGGCATGCAGGAGGCAGCTGACTGATGATTCTCTCTCTCTCTCTCTCTCTCTCCCCTCTCTTCCTTACGCTCTCTCTAAAATCAATGAAAAACATATTAAAAAAAAATTTAGTTCCTCAGTAACACAGCTACATTTCATGTGCTTAGTAGCCTTATGTGTCTAGAAGCTACCATATTGTGCAGAATAGAACGTTTCCATCCTTGTATAAAGTTCTATTGAACAGCACTGAAGTAGAATGATTATAATGATTTCCTTTGTAGCTTTCACATTCTCTGAGGGTGGGGATGATTGAAATGGCAGACACTGGGAGGGGGCAAGTTTGGATTCTGAAGGCTGGAAGTGGACACCATCTGACAGGCAAGACACTGGAGAGGGGTGGGGTGGAGGACTGACTGTAAGTGTGCTGGAGTGCTCCCATTTAGTTTTCTTATTCCAGTGTCCTCCTACTCCACACTCTAGGCAAGCTGCGGCATGTGCTGAGCATGGATGGCTTCCTCAGCTACCTCTACTCAAAGGACGGAGACATCTTCAACCCATCCTGCCGCCTCATCTACCAGGATATGACTCAACCCCTGAACCACTACTACATCAACTCCTCTCACAACACCTACCTGGTGGGGGACCAGCTTTGTGGCCAGAGCAGCGTCGAGGGATATATACGGTGCAGTGGGCAGGATGGGAGGAGGGATTGAGCTCACAAGAAGGGAACATCTGTGGGAAACTGAGGACACTGTCAGTGGATAACAGGAATTGAAAAGATGTTGTAGGGTGTAGGTTTGGGGGCTGGTGATCCCTGGATACATAAAAGACTTGGAGAAGATACCGAAGACTGGTGGGTGAGTGGTATTAAACTCTATGTAACTTTCATAGACTATGAAACTCTCTTGGAACTCAGAGGTCCTGACATTTATTCTAAGTAAATAAATAAACTAAATGTTAAATAGAAGGCAGTAGAACATAGGAGTTTAAAACATAGGTTCTGGAGTCAGACCATTTGAGGTCAAATCCTAGCTTTCTCACTTGGTACTCTGGAGCTAAGTATTTAACGTCTCTATGCCTCATCCTCCCCATTTGTGAAATAGAGATGATAACAGTGTCTATCCTGTCTGGGTTGTTGTGAGAATTCTATGAGATAATCTATGTGTCAATACCTAATAGATGGTAACTACTTTTATTATGATCAATCATGGATTAACTCAAATAGTCAAGATATCTTTGCAGTTGCTACTAATCTAGTAGCTGCAAGGCCTACAAAGATGAAGGAAACATATAGTTTCTGCCCTAGGAAGTCTAGTAGAGAAAATAAATTAATTGAGTTTGAATAATTTAGGTGTTTTATTATGAAATACAATCAGAACACAAGAAGCATCATGAGGCAGTATGTAATGGTTAGGGATGGGGGGTGTTGGAGATCAGGGTGAGCTGCAGCAGTATTCCAGTGGGCAGAGAATGGTCTATGGAGATGTAGCTTGAAGGATCTTGACAGGTAAGTGCCTGTGAGCACTGTTCTCTCCAAAGTGGATAGAGAGTCCCTAGGTGGAAGATCAGACCTTGACTGATCCTGTCCCTGGGGGCTTGGGGTTCTTGCAGGGCCCTGAAGCGGGGGTGCCGCTGTGTGGAGGTGGATATATGGGATGGACCTAGTGGGGAACCTGTTGTTTACCATGGACACACCCTGACCTCTCGTATCCTGTTCAAAGAAGTTGTGGCCACTGTAGCACAGTACGCCTTCCAGGTATGAGCCCCAGGATGGGCATACTGGTGAGGCAAGAGGATCTGAGGAAAAAGAGTGGCTGGCTCTGGGTCTGGGGAGGGTGAAGGGACAAGGGGAGGTTATGTCAAATGGCAAATAGGTAAAAGAGATTTTAACTGTGAAGCATCAGGCAAATTTTATTTAATCCTCACCTGAGGACATTTTTCCATTTTTGTTGTTCAGATAAAGTGGAAGAGAGAGAGAGAGAGAGAGAGAGAGAGAGAAACATGGACGTGAAAGGGACACATCCAGTGGCTGCTACCCACACAACCCAACCAGGGTTGGGGACAAACTGCAACTGAGGTACATGCCCTTAGCGGGAACCAAACCTGGGTCTCTCGGGACCTCAGGCCAATGCTCTAACCGCTGAGCCAAACTGGCCAGGGCCAGGCACATTTTTATTTATTGATTGATTTTAGAGAGAGAGAGAGAGGAAAGGAGAGAAAAAGAGGGAGGGAGGGAGGGAGAGAGGGAGAGAGATCAATTTGTTGTTTTATTTATTTATGCATTCATTGATTGATTCTTGTATGTGCCTTGACCTGGGATTGAACCCACAACCTTGGTGTATCGGGACGACACTCTAACCAACTGAGCTACCCAGGCAGGGGAACATCAGGCAAATATTAAGGGATTATTATGTGTAAGTGTTAGCTCTGTTACTAGTAATTAGTTGTCATAGAGGTAATTGCTAGAGATTAGTCACGTCTAACAACTTCTGTCACCTATCTGAGAGAGAGTGGATAAGGACATAAAAAAGTACTGGATAGGGCTGGGGGATGATAGGAACCTGGAGATGAAAGCCTGAGAGTGTAACATGAACATGTAACCAGGGGAGTGGCCTGGTCCACCCACTCTGATCCCCAAAACCCTAAGGTCCCAGAGAAACATGGGTTGGACTTGGCACTTGTCTGAGATTTGAGATCCCAAGAGTGAATTTATTTATTTTTTTACACCTAAATTTTTTATTATCCTCATTATTTATTTATTTTTTTAAATCCTCACCCCAGGACATTTTTGCATTTATCTTCAGATAGAGCGGGAGAGAGAGAGGAAGGAAGAGAGAAAGAGAAACATTGATGTGAGAGAGACACATTGAGTGGTTGCCACCCACATGACCCCAACTGGGGTTGGGGACAAACTGCAACCGAGGTATGTGCCCTTAGCAGGAACCGAACCCAGGACTCTCTGGTCTGCGGGCTGACACTCTAACCGCTGCGCCAAACCCGCCAGGGCTATCCTCATCATTTAATTGTCCCTTAATTTTTTTTTCTTTATTGATTTTAGAGAGAGAGGAAGGGAGAAAGAGATAGAAACGTCAATGAGAGAGAACATCAATTGGCCGCCTCCTGCATGTTCCCCACTGGGGATCAGGCCCACAACCTGGGCATGTACCCTGACCAGGAATCGAACTGGCAACCTCTTGGTGCATGGGGTGGTGCTCAACCACTGAGCTACACTGCGTGGGCTAGTTGTCCCTTAATGTTTTTTTTTAAATCCTCACCCAAGGACATTTTTGCATTTATCTTGAGATAGAGCGGGAGGGAGAGAGGGAGGAAGAGAGAAACATTGGTGTGAGAGAGACACATTGAGTGGTTGCCACCCACACAACCCCAACCGGGGCAGGGGACAAACCGCAACCGAGGTACGTGCCCTTAGCGGGAACCGAACCCGGGTTTCTCTGGTCCTCGGGTCAATGCTCCTACCACTAAGCTAAACCAGCCAAGGCATACAATTCTATAACACATCATCTGTATATTGTATTGTATGTTTACTACCCCAGGTCAAGTCTCTTTCCATCACCGTTTATCCCCCCATACCCTCCTCTACTTCCCTCCATCCCTCTTTTATTTATTTTTTCTCTTTATTGATTTTAGAGAGAGAGGAAGGGAGAGGGAGAGCGATGGAAACATCAATGAGAGAGAACATCGACTGGCTGCCTCCTACATGCCCCTCACTGGGGATCGGGCTCACAACCTGGTCATGTGCCCTGACCAGGAATCGAACCGGCAACCTCTTGGTGCATGGGTCGATGCTGAACGACTGAGCCACACCAGCCGAGCCCCACCCCTCTTTCTCTCTGGTAATTACCATACTGTTGACTGTGTCTATGAGGTGGTTTTTCCCCCCTAATCCCTTCACCTTTTTCACCCAGCTCCCCAATCACCTGCCCCCTGACAGATGTCAATCTGTTCTCTATCTATGAGACTGTTTCTACTTTGTTTGTTAGTGTATTTTGTTCATTGGATTCCATATGAGTAAAATCAAATGGTAGTCTTTCTCTGACTCACCTATTTCACTTAGCATAATGTTCTCCAGGTCCATCCATGCTGTCGCAAAGGGTAAGATTTCCTTCTTTTTATGGCCAAGTAGTATTCCATTATGTAAATGTACCTTCTTTTTTTTTAATCTTCACCTGCAGACAGAGTGGGAGGGAGAGAGAGAGAAAGAAAAACATCGATGTGAGTGAGACACATCAATTGGTTGCCACCTGCACGACCCCAGTGGGGACCGGGGACGAACTGCAACCGAGGCACATGCCCTAGGCTGGAATGGAACCTGGGACTCTTTGGTCTGCAGGCCAATGCTCTAACCGCTGAGCCAAACTGGCCAAGGCTGTACTACAACTTTTTTATGCACTTATCTTCTGATGGGCACTTGAATGCTTCCAAATCTTGGCTATTGTAAATAATGCTGCAATGAATATAGGGGTGCATATGTCCTTTTGAATAATCAGTGTTTAGGGTTAGTTGGATATATTCTGGGTCATAAGGCAGTTCCACTTTTAATTTTTTAAAATTTATTTATTTTTGTTACAGATGTTTCTCCCTTTTCCCCCACTGACCCCCCCCCCCGTCCCCACTTTTAATTTTTTGAGGTAAGTTCATACTGCTTTCCACAATGGCTGCACCAAGAGTGACTTTTAGATGTGAAGTGGGCTCCAGACCCAGCAAGACCTCCCTGAGGCCTGGAATGGGGTTGGAGTTTAGCAATCAGTGTACTCAGTTGAGTGAGTAAGTAGGTGGGCCTGCAGAAGCAAGGAGGTTATAGGCTTTAGAACTCTGGCTCTAGTGTTCCCTTCTCTCCCCATCAGACATCAGACTATCCAGTCATCTTGTCCCTGGAGAACCACTGCAGCTGGGAGCAGCAGGAGATCATAGCACACCATCTGACCGAGATCCTGGGGGAACAGCTGCTGAGCACCACCTTGGATGGGCAGCTGCCCACTCAGTTGCCCTCACCTGAGGTAGGGACCCTGCTCCCCCCATCGAGGCTCTTCTGTGGCTTTCATATCACGCCACCATGGCTCCTTCCTCCATGTTGTTCTCTTCTCACCCTCAGATGGACCATCTTGTTCTTCATATCCTTGGAGACAACTTTAATTTTTAAAAAATCTAATTGAACACAGAATTCTATTTATAGTTCTCTAAATTTGAAATTAACAATTTACTTATATTTAGTTTTTCAGTGGGAAGTATCTTATTTGTTTTCCTGAAAGTTCATAATTGTTGTAGACTATGCCAACAATAAAGAGAAAGGAAACTCTCCCCACCATAATGTTAACCTTTCCTAGTACATGCTGCCAGTAGATTTTAAATGCTTATATAAACATATATGTACAGCCCTGGATAGTTTTTCTCAGTGGTTAGAGCATCGGCCTGCGGACCGAAGGGTTAAGAGTTCGATTCCTGGTAAAGGGCATGTCCCTGGGTTACAGGTTCGATTCCTGGCCCTGGCTGGGTTGTGTGGGAGGGAACCAATCTATGTCTCTCCCACACTCCCTCTCTTCCATTCTATCAAAAATCAACAAAAAATATCCTCAGGTGAGGATTAACAACAACAACAAAAATATATATATACACATATATACTCACGTTTTTTTTGTTTTGTTTTGGTTGTTTGTTAATCCTCACCTGAGGATATTTTTTCATTGATTTGCAGATAGGAAGGGAGGGAGGAAGAGAGAGGAGAGAAACATCAATTGGTCGCCTCCTGCATTACCCTGACCAGGGCCAGGGATTTTACCCAGGTACATGCCCTTGACCAGGAATTGAACCCACCACCCTTCAGTCCACAGGCCAACACTCTAACCGCCGAGCCAGACTGGCCAGAGTTATACTCACATTTGTAAAAAGTGAACGGTAATATAATATTTTATATTAAATGTAAAAAAAGTGAATGGCGGGTGGCAGCCACTCGATGTGTTCCTTTCGCGTTGATGTTTCTCTCTCTCTCTGTTCCTCTCTCTCCCTCCCACTCTACCTGAACAGAAAATGGAAAAATGTCCTCGGGTGAGGATAAAAAAAAAAAAAGTGAATGGGATTATCCTCTATATTCCTTTATATCACATATAATATATATCATGGATGTCTTTTCAAGTATAATTTTTCCCTTTTTAACAGCAGTATGATATTCCATTTTAAGTTACGGACCATAATTTATTCAACCAGTAGGTGGTAAACATAAGCAGTAAATGGTAAATATTTAGGTTGTTTATAATTTTGTTGTCGATGTTAATCCTCACCTGAGGATATTTTTCCATTGATTTTTAGATAGAGATAAAGTGGAAGGGAGGGAGGGAGGGGGAGAAAAAAACATCAATGTGAGAGAGACACATCGATTGCTTGCCTCCTGCATCGCCCTGACGGGGTTCGGGGATCAAACCTGCAACCCAGGTATGTGCCCTTGCCTGGGAATTGAACCTGTGACTCTTTGGTCGTGGGCCAATGCTCTAACCACTGAGAAAACTGGACAAGGCTGGGTTGTTTATAATTGTTCACTTGTACGTACAGCTTTGACCATTTATTCTTTCTTTCTTAATTATTTTTTAGAGAAAATGGAAGGGAGGGAGGGTGGGCAAGAGACAAACAGAGAGAAACATTGATGTGAAAGACACATCAATTTGGTTGACTCCTGCACGTGCCCCAACCAGGGCCAGGGATGGAACCTGCAACCCAGGTATGTGCCCTTGACTGGGAATCAAACCCATGACCCTTTGGTGTGTGGGCGGATGCTCTATCCACTGAGCCACAACCGGCCAGGGCCCATTTGTTCTTTCTTTGAGATGGATTCCTAGAAGCAATATTGCTGGCTTAAAGAGTTTGCATGTTGACATTTTGGTTATTGTTGCCAAGTTGCCCTCTGGAAAAAATACCAAATTGCACTCCCACCAACAGTACAAAAGAGGGACCACAAATAACTCTAGTAGTGAGGTGACTCACAAAGGTAAACATGAAAAAAAAAAAAAAAAAGTCAGTTCTTTAAAAAGAAAGGTCTGTTTTCTTGACTTCATTTATAATATTATTACCCACTTTGAAGGCTTATGCATTTTATTGATATATAACAATTTTTTTTTTTTTTAATCCTCACCCGAGGACATTTTTCCATTTTTTGCACAGATAGAGTGGGAGGGAGAGAGAGGAAGAGAGAGAGAGAGGGAAACATCGATGTGAAAGGGACACATCGAGTGGCTGCCACCCGCACGACCAACCAGGGCCGGGGACAAACTGCAACCGAGGTACATGCCCTTAGTGGGAACTGAACCCGGGTCTCTCCGGACTGCAGGCGGATGCTCTAACCGCTGAGCCAAACCGGCCAGGGCGATATATAACAATTTTTAAATGTTAAGATATTAATGCTCTGAAAAGTATTTTTCAGTCTATTTTTCTTCTGTCTTTCTTTTTTCTTACCTTCTTCCTTTCAGGGTTTTTTAAGCTTTATACAGTCAAATATGCCAATCATTTTGATGTCTTCTGAGTTTTTATCTCATGTTCTAAAGGCTTTCCCACCTTAAGATTATTTTAAAAGTTTCTCTATTTTCTTTTAATATTCTTTATATTTACACATAAATCTTCAGTCAGTGAGGAATCTTTATGTGTCAAATGTGAGGTATCGATCTCCATTTATTTTTTCTATATGAATACAAATGTTACCAATTTGCTTAACAATACAAAATCCCTACTGTCTATATCAAGTAGCCTTCCTGTGGAACTTCTGATCACTCATTCACTTCTGTTGCCTTTGAGGTGATCCTGTGAGAGCAATAGGACCTGCTAGATCCTTGGAGGGTCCCAGAGCAGACAGTTAGCCAGGCCCCTTCATTTTTGTCCCCTAGGAGCTTCGGAAGAAGATCCTGATAAAGGGGAAGAAGTTAAGGACGCTTGAGGAGGATCTTGAAGAACAGGAAGAGGAGGAAGAGCTAAAGACTGAACTAGAGAGGGAGCGGGAGGCTGAGCTGGAGCTGGAGTCCCAGTTTGAGTCTGAGACCCAGGAGCTGAGCCCACGCAGTAAGGACAAAAATGAGAAGGTAGGCCAGGGGAGTGGTCTTTGGTCTGGCATTTGGACTATCACAAGCTGAGAGCCTACGTGTGAAGGCACTAGAGCCAGGGAGAGTAGAGAGCCAAGGAGCAAAATGCCCCTTACCACCAACGAAAGGGGCATAAAAATGCATACTTGGCATCATTATATATTGCCATATATAGATAAATTGTAGTAGCTTTCCAACTTCTTTGGGCCATGAAATCTTTCTCAATGAAATCTTATCTGGAAGCTCAGTATACAAAATAGATAAATGCAGAGACATTCTAATTAACATGCCCAGGTGACTCCTGAGACATCTTTGTACTACTTCTCAGTCTCCTTAAAGGCAAATTTGAAAACGACAGGGTGGTGGGGGTGGCACAGTATTATTATATTGAGTAAGTAGCGCTTATTGGAGTGACTGCTGTGACATCAACTGAAGTGAGTTTATTTAGAGAAAGCTTCTTGGAAAAGGTGAGTCTGAGGTGGGGCTAAAAATAGCTAAGAGGAGGAGCAGGGAGAGGTGGGGGAGGTGAAGGCTCTGAGAAGGCTGTGCCGGAGTGGTCCAGCTCCTCCCTACGGGGAAGGGTGCCATTTGTGGGCCCACTAAGATCCTGGTTCGAAGTCTGCATTTCTCTCTCATGTGCACTTGCTTGGCTCAGCTCACTCCTAGCTTACTGTTCCCTTTGGGGCTCTGGTGTCTAACCTGGTGCCATGCCCAGGGTTGGAAATGGGAATTCAGGAAATAAATCTAAAGATAGTACTCTGAGACCCTCACATCCTTCCAGGTGTGACTTCCATAACCATTTGCATACTTTGATGTATCTGTCTGGGTTCATGTACATTTTTACCAAAAGTAATTGTTTTAAAAGATGAAAGGCAGGGAGGATGATCCCTCTCTGTTTAAAAATAATAAGTTTAAAACCCGTTACCCGGAAAGTAATATAGAACAGACTTTTCAAGTCCAGAGAAAACTAATCCCATCAGTATATGTAGACTGCATTTATTCCCATTCCCATCCCCAGGTTGTGATGTGTCCGCTGTTTTGTTCGCCTATCTGTTGTCAGATTATGGTCCAGGCTCCTCTTCCCAAGCCTGGGCTCCCTCTCTTTCCCAAGCAGGTGAGGCAGGAGGGAGAATGCAGTGGGGAGGCAGTGGGCAGAGGCTTAGGTTGGGTGGGGAAGTTCAGATCCTGGCTTTTGGCTTCTTCCTTCTCAGATTGCTGATGGTTCGATTCCATCTTCCTCTCTCCTTTTCCAGAAATGCAAGGCCATCTTGTGTCCAGCGCTCTCTTCCCTGGTTGTCTACACAAAGACTGTCTCATTTTACAACTTTACTCATTCGAGGGAGCACTACCGCTTCTATGAGTTATCGTCTTTCACTGAAACCAAGGCCAAGAGCCTCATCAAGGAGGCTGGTCAGGACCAAAAGGGAGGGACAGGGAAGAAATGGGATGGGTAGAGTCAGGCCTAAGGGACAAACAGAAGAGTTCCAAGAAAGAAGATAAGGGAGCTAAGGAAGGATCAGGGAGTGGAAGAAGCTCCTCAGAACAGGCATGAGACAGGAGTTATAGTGGGCTCAAAGCTCTAGGGAGAAGCTGGGGGAGATGGTGGGGAGAAGACTGAAGTTGGTGGGTGGGTTCCTTGGGACCAGGGAAGGGGGAGAATCCATCTCATTTCTCTCTCTCTACCTATATCCTTTTTACAGGCAATGAGTTTGTGCAGCATAATGCTTGGCAGTTAAGCCGTGTGTATCCCAGTGGTCTGAGGACAGATTCATCCAACTACAACCCCCAGGAATTCTGGAATGCAGGCTGCCAGATGGGTGAGGGGGCAGTAGGGACAGGGAAGAGGGAGTGGAAGAACAAGTGGGCCATAAGTTCCTGGGTTGCAGTAGGGCCAGGGAATGATCCAAGAGTGCTAGCCTGAGAGTTCTATGGAGGTGTTCCCAGAAGGGCCTTTTATACCCAATGTCTTTTTAGCTCTCTGAAAGAGGGGCTGGATGGCCTCCAAGGTAAATCCTTCCTCTTTCTCCTTCTGGGGTCCTCAGTGGCTATGAATGTGCAGACTGCGGGGCTTGAGATGGACCTCTATGATGGGCTCTTCCGCCAGAATGGTGGCTGTGGCTACGTGCTGAAGCCAGACTTTCTACGTGATACCCAGAGTTCCTTCCAACCCGAGAGGCCCATCAGCCCTTTCAAGACCCAGACCCTTCTAATCCAGGTATAATGGAAAGCAGAAATGTTGGGAAGAAACTTGGGATAGCTGGGATAGAAGCAGGGGGAAGAGGTGGCTAGGCCTGACGGAGTGTAATGGGTGAAAAGTTCCTAGTGAGACGCATGGTTGTTAACAGCATGGACTTTGGAGCCAATTGCCTACATTCATACCCATTTACTAGCTGTGAAATGTTGGGCAAGTTCCTTAACCTTAGTCTCCTCGCCAGCAAAACGGGGTAATATTACCTACCTCACAGGGTTGTTATGGTTAGTTAAAATGAAGTACTTAACAATGCCTGGTGCACATAAGTGCTATAGAAGGGATTGCTGTCATTAACATATCTTTCAAACCTTGTTAAACTACTTAGATGCATTTTAAATTGCACATAGATCATTGGAAGAAAATCTATTACTCATGGAGGATTGGCTTTGCAAACCCAAAGCTAGAGCACAAGTTCCTACATTTCCCCCTTCCCTTATCTATCCCCCTTTCCTTGGTGTGTGAGAACTGGAGTGGGGCTGGGCTGAGGAGAAATTATTACAGGTGATCAGTGGTCAGCAACTCCCCAAAGTGGACAATACCAAAGAGCAGTCCATTGTGGATCCACTGGTGAGAGTAGAGATCTTTGGTGTTCGCCCAGACATAACCCATCAGGAGACCAACTATGTGGAGAACAATGGTGAGACTGGGCAGTGCTGGGGGGAGGTGGGAGGAGCATGACTGTTACTGCCCTATCATCCTGCCCTCCATTCTGTATGGTTCATGCTACCACCATCCCTCCCCCTACCTCCATGGGAGGCAGTGTGGAATCAGGGCTTGGATGACTTCAGTCTGAATTCTGCCCCTCAATTATAAATTCCAGTGACCTGGGCAAATTGCTTACCCCCTCAACCTTAATCTCCTCACCTGATTGCTATGAAAATTAAGTGAGAATACACAAGGAAAGTAACTCAATACGGGCCTTAGAAAAAGTCAAGAGTCTGTTCCTTCATTTCCTCCCTCATTCATCCCCTTCTATCCCAGGTTTTAATCCATACTGGGGGCAGACACTATGCTTCCGGGTGCTGGTGCCTGAGCTGGCCCTGCTGCGTTTTGTGGTGAAGGATTACAACTGGAAATCCCGAAATGACTTTCTCGGTCAGTACACCCTGCCTTGGACCTGCATACAACAAGGTGAGCCTGTCCTTCACCCCTGGTCAAACCCCTTAACTCTGGCTGCCTCTTTAATGTTGTCCTCCTGGTATCTTTCCAGGTTACCGCCATATACACCTGCTCTCCAAGGATGGCACTAGCCTCCATCCAGCTTCCATCTTCGTGCACATCTGCATGGTGGAAGGGCTGAAAGGGGATGAATCTTAAGGTGGGCACTTCAGCGAAGGGTGGGTGCACTTGCTTTAGATTGTAAGAAAAACCGGGAAGGATGCTCCAGAACGCAGAGGTGGTGAAAACCAAGCATGGGGTTGTACATTTCTAGCAAGCAAATCTAGGATCTGATTTTTCAGCTGCTTTCTCTTCCTTTTCTTCGTTTTCACAAAACTTTTGGTATCTTTCCTGCCCTTCCCTTTTGTGTACTCTATATTGGAGTTCCTTCCTTCCTTTTGCTATAAGCTTAGTTCCATACCCAGACCTAGGACCAATCTCTCTTATCAGCTCTGGCTCAAAGGCAGCTTGCAGCTACAAATCCAGAGGGGTTTGGGGCAGAGAAAACCAGAGGCATTATCCTCTCCCCCACAACTTCCTCAAAGCCCAGAACCAAGGAAAGGATAAAGCAAGCCTCAAGCCTCCCAAAGCAAAGGATGGGGAGAGACCTGACCCCAAAACTGTACTATGATTCTCAAGAGAACACTGCACAGCCCTCCAAGTCCACACTGGAATGCTCCTTCCTAGCCCCCCAGTGCTAATAGAGCTGCTCTCCCCAACTTGACTTGAGTATGGTCTGTCATTGCTGGGCAAGAAGGGGAAGAATGAGGGTTGGGGGACATTTGGGTAGACAGGTGGGACAGGGGAAAGTTAGAAAAAAAAGTTTCCAGGGGTCCCTCTGCATGTGCTACATAGGAATGGTGCAGAAGTATGGTTTCTAGGGGTCAGGGCAAAAGGAGCAGACAAAGGGTTATATAATCCTAGCCCTCCTGAAAAGTTTGCCTGGAACAGTCCTGGTTTATGTCTGCCGTCCTAGCATAATATTTAATAGTACTCTCTTCAATTTCCCTAGTGTGTCCCAGTAAATTAGAGTCACTGTGAGGCACTCAATCTTGAATTAAAGCTGCTTCCATGAGGAAGCCTAGTGGGTGGCAATCCTCCCTCTACAGGTAGACAAAGTGGCTCGGAAATAGGGCCAAGACAGCAAGGGCCAAGACAGGCTCAGGAACAGAGAGAAGGCAGTCCTGGGCTTGACCACCTGGAATTTCTGCTGGGCCTACCAGGACTGCCTTCTCTCTGTTCCTGAGTCTGTCTGAGAATCAATCACTAAGTGAAGATAGAAGGGAAGAAAGAGGCGGAGGTCTGAGAGGGGACAGGGCAGATCAAGATGACAGCCCGGAAATGTTAAAACGGATATGGATGAGTCTTAAACTAGTAATCATTCTCTGTAACATGCTTTATAGAGCATTAGGCACAACAGCACATGCAGTTCAGTACAACTGTTCTGAGGATGCTAAATGAGAATAGAAACTGACATAGTAAGAAGAGAAAATGGAATTGGTAAAACCAAGATCTTATAGTCAGGGACTTGGGTGGAGTGATGGTGAAAAAACTAGGACCTCACAGGTTAAAAACACAGTGGGCCTCAACACAAAGTCAATTTGTGGTTCATGATTTTCTCTTTTATGTAGCTGTCAACATCAAAGTACTATAGCCAAAGTCCCAGGATGGTTCCAGCCAATCTGACATCCTAAAGCCATCCCTTCTTATGCTCTGAGCTTCTCAGGCTCGCTCTGGTTCCAATCTGCATATCTTGGACCACACTCTCTTCTTGTCTGGGAGGTGGGATGGGCTCTCAGCCCTCAGGTCCAGTTGGAGGAGCAGAAGGAGCAGGAGGGCTGGGATCCTCCAACTGCACATCATGCAGGTGCACTGTGGGGGTGGTGGGGTCTTTGCCCACACCTTGGTTTGGGTCAGACTGGTCAGGGTGGTGCCTGCGCACATGCTTGACCACCTGGAATTTCTGCTTGGCCTTGTAGCTGCAGAGACGGCAGAAAAAGGGGTGGCGGTCAGTGTGGGTGAGGGCATGATGGCGCAGGCCAGCAGCCCATCGGAAAGCACGGTGGCATACATTGCACACATAGGGCTTGGCCTCGCTGTGCTTGCGGAGGTGGGTGCGCAGCAGGAAGCGTGTTTTGAAGGCCTTGCCACACTGCTCACACATGAAGGCCCGTGCTTCCCGGTGCCTCGTCTCCTGGTGCACACGCAGTGCATCAGCCCGGTTGGTGCAGTACTCACATTCGGGACACTGGTATGGCTTCAGTCCTGTAGGATATGGCAAAGACAGAGAACAAATCACCACTGAAGGGGGTGGAACAAGGTTCAGTGGACCGGAAGAGCCATTATGATTCTGGGACATAAAGAACACAAGCAGCCTGGCCAGTGTGGCTCAGTGGTTGAGCACTGACCCATGCACCAAGAGGTCACTGGTTCGATTTCTGATCAGGGTACACGCCCAAGCTGTGGGCCAAATCCCCAGTGCGGGGAATGCAGAGGGCGGCCAATCAATGTTCTCTCTCATCAATGTCTGTCTCTCTCTCTCTCTCCCTCCTTCTCTCTCTAAAATCAATAAAGAAAAAAATAAAGAACACAAGCAGCAAGCTAATACCATATCTTTGGAATATTCCAGTCTTTTCTGACATTTCTGTACTTTTCTCCCAAAAGAGGCCCTTGTCTATAACAGGTGCTCAATAAGCGCTGATAATTAATTGGACCCCTAAATAGCCACCTGACAACAACGGATACTCAAATATGATAGGGTTTCCAAATGGGAAATTCCAACCTCTTTTTGGTCACTGGGTACTCATGGAAGTTGGGGATGATTTAAATACAACTCCTTGTTCAATTCAAGAAGTCAAAGAAAATGTTTAAGAGTGAAGTGGGTAGCGGTGAAAGAAGTAGCAGTCATAGATGCAGACAGCCTTGAAATGCATCTGCTCAATTCCTTTATGTGAGGAAATCATATGCAATAATCACAGGCACATCACCATTAATATTTTTCTGAGAACCTGTAGTTTGTGGAATCCATAACAAGAAGAAAAAAAGGATAAGTTAAAACAGGTGAACTTGCCCCTTCCTCCTCTTTACTCAAGATAGTTCCTTTGGGTCTGTAGGAACCAGGCAGACCTGACCTTAGTCACTCATGTTTGAGTTGGGGGTTCTCAACAGGAGGTGGGTGACCTGGAGCCACAATCACCTGGGGAACCTTCTGATAGGTCTCCAGTGGGTGAGGAAGCTGTTCTAGCCATTCAACCTACCCACTACCACCAGTGTGAAAACTGGTTTGCACCCTGAATCTGAGTAAGGACATATACCACCTCAGAGAGGTTGGGTGTGCCAAGGAATAGGGGAACCCCGTGGGCCCATCAAAACCACACACTCACCTGTGTGCTTCGTCATGTGGTACTTGAGCTGGTTGACCCACTTGCACTTGTAGCCACAGTCAGGGCACAGATACTTCCGTTCCTCCTTATGGATCCGCATATGGTACTGGAGGAGGGAAAAGCGAAGAATATGCCCAGAAAATGTGCACCTTTGGGTACTCAGTGGATGAGGAAATAGGGGAAGGATGCAGAGAAACTGTTGGCAGACAACCCTTTTCCTGCTCCCATCCTATCCATACTCCCGTTACCAATCAGGTTCTTCAGTCTGGCCCCTTTGGCACCATCCTAACCCACTGGGCCTACCCCTAGATCTGCCTAGACTATCTCAGCTCTGCCACTTTATTTCCTGTGTCTTTGGGTGACCAAACCCCTAATTCTCAGCTTAATAATCTGTAAAATAAGAAATAGTAAAAGTAACCATATCTCATATTTTTGACAGGATTAAAATTACAGTGCCCAGCATACATTAAGTACTTAATAAATGTTAGCTGTTATTACTAGCTAGATTATCCCAAACCTATTACATGCCTTTATCACATGACTAGCATGTACTATGAAATTTTGTCTTTCTAACAACTCTGTGAAGTATTATCCCATTTTTACAGATGAGGAATCTGAGGCTTGGAGAAATAAAGGAAATTGAAAAAGGCCAAAAGGCTAATATTTGGGAGTCAGGATTAGAGAACCCAGGCAGTTTAACTCCACAACCTGTACTCCTGGCCCCCTTGATCCTTGACCTTACCTTGAGGCGAGAGGGGTCAGCACAGGCATAGGGACAGAGGTGACAGCGGTAGGGCTTTTCCCCAGTATGAATGCGACTGTGCCAGGTGATCTTCTGCCGGTTCTTGGTGCTGTATGCACAATCGGTACACTTGTAGAGCCGCGTGCCCCCATGCCCTTTCACATGGTGATCTAGCACCAGCTGATGGCGGCACATGAAGTCACAAAAGGGGCAGCGCAGAGGGGGCTGGCCAGCATCCCCATCTGAGGCTGCTGCTGCTGCAGTCCCCTCATGCTGTTCCAAGTAGTGCTTCACCAGGCCCACCCGCTCCCGGGCAGCGAAGTCACAGAGCTGACAGCGGTGGCTGAAATGCTGCTGCCTCCGGTGCTCATCCAGTGCTGGCCGGCTAGGAAAGGCCTGCTGGCAGGCTCCACACTCGAGCCGTGGGTGCTGTTTACATGTGTGTCCTCGCAGGCTGGCAGGGCTGGGACATAGGAACCCACAGCGGGAGCAGTGCAGGGGGCCCTCAGTGGCCTCCGCAGGGGAGCCTGGGGCTGGAGGTGTAGGCTCAGGATGCCGGCGCAGAGCATGTTGCTTGAGTGCTGTCTCAGAGCTGAACTGGGCCTCACACTGGGGACAGGCAAAGGCTGGGGTGCCCTGGTGGCAGCTGTTTACATGGCGAGTGATGTCGTGGCGAAGGTAGCCACTATAGTCACAAAGTGGACAGAAGTGGGTGGGTGTTTTGTCGTGTACCCTCAGCCGGTGCAAGCGCAGTTTCGAGTTAGTACCAAATGTCTGGGGACAGGAACTGCAGGGGATGCGGCCAACACCTGTGTGTCGGGACTGATGAGCCTCCAAACGGTACCGTCTAGTGGTGGAAAAATCACAGAAAGGGCACTGATGTGGCTTCACTCCCTCGTGCTTGAGCCGCTGGTGCTGCTGTAGGCACCTGCTCTGTTTACAGACAAAGCCACAGTCCCCACACTGAAGAGGGGGCCGGGGGCCATGGGCTGGGGCCACAGTGGGGTGCCTCTGCCTCTGGTGGAGTTTCAGGGCAGCAGCAGCAGGAGTGGTAAAGGAACAGAGGCCACAATGCAACTCTCCAGACTGCTTAAGGGGGCAGCCCCTGGTCTGGTGAGTCCTCAGGGCCCGCTCCTGCTGGCAGCTAAAGGGACATGTAGGGCAGGAGAAGCGAGCCCCCTTTGGCTTTGGAACCAGAGCTGTGTCCCCATCCCCAGGGCTGCACTCTGTACTCCCACTGTTTATGGAAACAGAGTCCCCATTGCTCAGTGGGGACACAATGGGTTGGGTCTGGGTGGCCCCCCGCTTTCCTGCCCCATTACGTATCCCCCGGCAGCCTTCGGCCACGTGGGAGGTAATGGAGGAGAGCCGAGAACAAAGAAACATGCATGAATTGCAGTGAAACTTGCCCTGTTCAAAGTGGAACTTCTCAGGGGTTTCTGGGGATGAGGAGTTTCCCGTAAGTACTGTGGAGCCAGAGAATGGAGCCAGAGGCTCCTCAATTTCTTCTGATTCCTTAGGAAGCTCGGAAGAAACATCTTTTGGGAGCACTACCTCTACTTCTAATGGTGCAGGTGGGGGCTTCCCACCTTCTACAGCCTCTGAGGCCTGGGTGCCAGGGGGCGGAGGATGCAGAGGGATAGGTGAATCTGCTCTGGGCAAGCACTTGTTCTTTTTGAGCAGAACAGGGCACTTCTTCAGCAGGTGGGTGCTAAGGCCACGCTGTTGCTTAAAACCAGCCCCACACTCAGGACACAGGAGGGGCTCTCGGCGGCCCTGGCACCCAGTCCTGGAATGCAGACTCAGGGCCTTCTCCCGGCGGGTAATAAAAGGGCAGTGTGGGCAGCGAAAAGCCTGCCCCTCTCCCTGTATTACTACCATCTGAACCCGCCCTTCCAGTACCAGCGCCTCAGCCTGTTCTTTGTCCTGTCTCCTTAGAGCCTTGAGTAATGACTCTGACTCAGGGAACTGGGGCAGGAGTGCTGTCTCAGTGGGCGGAGTTGCCTTGAAAGTTCCCACCCAGCTGTCAGGGGGTTCCTCTGAGGAAGAAGGATTTCTGAGGGGCTCGGAGACTGGTTTTTCCAGAATGGGCTCTTCCTCAGCTCCCAAGTCAGAAGTCTCAGCACCTTCAAAGGTAGACAGCTCTGTCAAAGTTCCATCTGGCCCTTCCAGTCTCAGGGGCCCCGAGGGATCCAGGGGCCTGAATTCCACAGGGGCTGTTTCAGTGATCTCCTCAAGGGGCGGCTCGGCCACAGGTTCCAGCTCTACTCCCAGGGCCTCTAGGTGTAGTGTGCAGCTGCCCTCATCTCCCTCCACTGGACTGGGGCTGCCAACCAGGTCACCCCCTTGGGGAACCTCACTGCCATCCTGTCTCCCAGCACTGTCCTCCTCACCGGCCTCTGGCAGAACCTGGTCCATGCTGGGGTCCTCCACAGCCCTAGGGTGGTGGTCCTGTCCCACAGGCTGGGCCGACAGCTGGCCTGAGGACTCTGAGTCTGGTGGGGATGTCGGGCATTGCCTGGCCTCTGGCTCTTGGCTGGCATAGCGGAGCTGCCAGACCTGGTCTCCGGGCACATAGCCATGGGCCTTGCGCTTGTGGAAGAAGAGAGTGGTGTTGCTGAAGGTGCGGTAGTCACAGAGGGCACAGCGGAACTCACGGAGGCGGGTGTGTTTGCAGTTCTCGTGGCTCAGCAGGGCCTGCTTGTGGCGGCTCTGGTAGCTGCAGTAGCGACAGGGGTAGAGCGGGGCTGGCTTGCTGGGGTGATGCTGGGAAGCCATGTGCTTCTGTAGCTCATACTTCCGCTTGCAAGCAAAGGCACACACCTCACACATCAGGGACTTGCCCTGGTGTCTCAGCTTGTGGCTGCTCAGCTGATCAGCCCGGTGGCAGCGGTAGGAGCACTGATTGCACTGGTATCTGAGGAGGAGGAGCAAGGCGGGGTGGGAGGAGAGGGGAGTAAAATCACAGCTATAAACCAATCATAAGAACTAGCAGTCACTATTTACTATGGGTCAGGCGCTACACTCAGTATTGTACGTACACCATCTAATTCCATGTTCTTTCCCACTACCCTATGAAACAGGTATCCATTTTACAAGTGAGAAGACAAAAGCATAGAAGTTAATAGCTTGCCTGAAGTTACAAAGTGAAGGGCAGAGACAGTCTAGCTTCAGTGCTTTTGTTCTAGTCCCTACTCTATATTGCTCACTAAAAGGAAGACTCAGCAACCTACTGTGGACTTCTAAGGAGCTGACATGCCTACAGCTCCACAGGGCAGGTTTCTATGTCTAGTCTCCACTCTCCCATGAAGGCAATGAAAACTAAAGAGAAACCCCCAGCCAGCTGTGCCCAGAGGTCGGAGGGGAAGTGGTCACGATTGGGGTCACAGTGCAGTCTATCTACTTTCCCAGGGCTGGTCTCTGAGAACTCAAGTGACACCTTAGTGTCTAAGCCTATACTCTGGGTCTATACTCCCTTCTTGGAGCCCGGGGATCTCTCACCATGCAGACTGGGCCACAGGCACAGAAGCCAGCTACAGGTGACAGAGCTGAGATGATAGAGCCAGAGGGGTGTTACGAAAAGTCTCCTCAGGGCCAGAAGAGCAATGGGGCCACAGCTGAATCCAAGAGGAGGCTAGCTTAGCCTAAGGGTCTTGGGATAGGGATGGAGGCGTGCATGCACTCATACCTGAGGTCCCCTAAGTGTTTTCGCATGTGCACACTGAGGTAGTGCTTCCACTTGGTGACATAGCCACACTCAGTGCACATGTAATCCTTGGTGTTGGAGTGGGTCAGCATGTGCTTGGATAGGTAGCTCACATCTCGGCACGTGAAGTCACACAGCTCACACTTGTGAGGTTTCTCGCCTTATGTAGGGGTGCAGGTAGGGATCAGAAGGGAGAGAACACAGGTCACACAGAGATCAAGTAAGCAGACAGACCATTTCCCCCAGCAAGTCTGTCCTGATGCCAGGCAGGAGAATCTTCACGCGACGACAAGAGTCAATGCCGCTTCGCAGCCCTCTCGGACGACTACTCTACTCTGACACCGATGAAGATGGGAAGAAAGTGAAGACTAAGGTTTGCAAAACTAGCTTTAAAGTTCACTCCTGATTTATTATACAGCTTGTTGGCACTAACAGCCAACTAACTGCTCCACTTTGCCCAATTCCTTTCAGTTTTGTGGAAGAGAAGGAGAAAAAAATTAGGCAATATAACACAGTGGTTAAGAACTCTGACTCTGGAGTCCAACACAGTAATAAAGATATTAATAGTTAACATGTATATAGTGTTCACTCAGTGCCATGCACCTGTCTGAACCCTTTATAAAAATGCTTCCTCTGAATCCTCACAATAAGGTGCTATAACTATCCATTTTACAGAGGAGCAAGCTGAGGCACAGAGAAATCACAGAGCTATTAAGTGGTGGCTGAAGTTCCAGCTTACTACTACATGACCTTGGGCAGGGCAGGTCATTTAACCCCTCTAAGTCTCAGTTTCCTTGTTTCCAAAAAGAGGACAACTAAAATACTGACCTTACATGGTTGATATGAAGATTAAATGAAATGTCCCAAAGTCCTCAGTGGCGCCCAGTGAGAACTCAAGGGTGAGCCATCCCTGGAGTTGGTCAGGACCTGGCACTAAGAAGCTGGGGGCCATGTTTGTTCAGGACCCTTCCCTATTATCCCTGCCAACCCACTCAGCCCCTTTCCCTATGGTGAATGGCAAGCAACACAGCGTTCTGGCTCTGGTTCTGTTACTAACTGTGTGATTCTAAAACAGGCTATTTAAATTTTCAGTTTCAAATCTTTACCTGCCTGCCTTATAAGGTTCTTATTATGGATTAAATGAGATAAAATATATGAGAGAACTCTATAAAGCACTATATAGATGTAAGGTTTTAGAAAAGAACTCATAAAAATGAGGTTTTATGATTAAAGCATGTATCAACGGGAACAATAATGGCTTTGTCCCAAGCTGCCTAAAAACTGTCCTCTTGAACAAAGAGTCTTCAATATTTTTAAATGTCTTATCGATCCATTATGCTTACACAGATATCACAAATGTAGCAGGAAGCCTGATAATGCTTGTCACTCAAAACATCAGTAATGCTGGTAACTACTTAAAAGTCTGACTTGAGCCTGGCCGGTGTAGCTCACTGGTTGAGTGTCCGACCCATGCACTAAAAGGTTGCTGGTTCGATTCCTGGTCAGGGCACAAGCCCAGGTTGTGGGTCTGATCCTCAGTGCGAGGCATGTAGGAGGTGGCCACTCAATGTTCTCTCTCATTGATGTTTCTCTCTCTCTCTCCCCCTTCCTCTCTCTTTAAAATCAATAAAGAAAAAATATTTTTTAAAAAAGTCTGGCCCTGGCTGGTTTGGCTCAGCAGTTAAAGACGGCCTGTGGTTCAGAGAGACCCGGGTTCGGTTCCTGCTAAGGGCATGCACCTTGGTTGCAGTTTGTTTCCGGCCCTGGTTGGGGTCGTGTGGGTGGCAACCAGTCGATGTGTTGCTCTCACATCGATGCTTCTCTCTCTCTCTCTTCCTCCCTCTCTCCCTTCCACTCTATCTGAAGATAAATGCAAAAATGTCCTCAGGTAAGGATAAAAAAAAAAAAAAGTCTGACTTGAAATATCTGCAAATTCCAGGTCACCAAATGGGCTCGGGTTTCAGTGTCATGGCTGAATGTATGGATGGCTCAGACCCCTGGGTTTTTTCACTTTAAGAGGCTGGGTACTGGCCCATCCAAGGCTAACTAGGGGTTGGCAGAACTGGACAGGGCCCTATGGGTCCTAGCCTGACCACTTTTCTTTTTTGTTAATCCTCACTAGAGGATATTTTTTCCATTGATTTTTTTTTTAGAGAGTAGAAGGGAGGGAGGGGTGATAGAAAGAGAGAAAGAGAAATCGATGTGAGAGAGACACTGACTGGTTGCCTCCCACACGTGCCCTGACCAGGGCCAGGTATCAAACCTGTGACCCTTCGTTGCACAGGCCGATGCTCTAACCATTAAGCAATACTGGCCAGGGCCTGACCACTTCTAGTTGAGTAATACTCAGCTTAAGGCTCATAAATTCCAGGAATACTAGGTCAAATGAGACAGTGAATGCAAAGCTCTTCATATGTACGTCTGCCATCACCACCAACATTGTACTACTGTCAGGAAGGAAGCCCCCTCACCTGTATGCAGCAGCATGTGGCGGATGAGCACTCTCTTGTGGGCAGTGGCAAAGTTGCACTCAGGGCACTGGTGGATCTTCTCATGAGCATGCATCTTGCCCACGTGATCCTGGTAGGCCACCGGGTTGAAGGTGGCGAAGGGACAGAAGGTGCAGCGCAGTTCCACACTGCCAGGGTGGCCCTGCTTCTTGTGTTTGCGGAACAGGTGCTTGTTGGAGCAGGCGAAGTCACAGTGGGGGCAGTGGAAGGCATAGTGGCTCTTGTGGTGGGCCTCCATGGCCTCGGCTGTGGCAAAGAGCATGGGACATGAGTGATGGCGGCACTCCACAGCCCGCACCCCATGGGTCTCCTTCAGGTGCTTCGTGAAGGCCTTGCGGTCGGGTGCTGCATAGCTGCAGCCCTCCTGAAAGCAGCCAAGGGGCAACGGCTCCGCTGCTGCCGCTGCTGCGTGACTCTTGAGGTGCTCCTTAAGGGCCTGGCTGAGGCGGAATTCCTCCCGGCAGACAGGACAGGCATAGGTGTCTGAGTAGAAGTTGGAAATATCCTCGTGCATGCTGGCCATGTGGCGGTTGAGTGCGTTCCTCTCCACTGCACTGTAGTTGCATAGTGGGCAGCGGTGCGCCTTCTGGCCCAGCTCACGCAGCAGATGGGTCTTGAGCTTGCTCTTACTGGTGAAGAACTTCTGGCAGTTGGGGCACTGGAGGCTGGGGTCTGGGAAGTGAAGATGTAGGTGCTCCACCAGATGGGTCCGCTTCTTAAAGCAGCGCTTGCATTCTGGACACATGTGGGTCTTGAAGAGGGACTCGGTGCCAGGAGCCACACCCCCTGTGAGAGGGAGAGGCAGAGCGTTGAGAACAAGATCCTTCAGTAACTCAGGAGCTGGCTAGACTACAGGAGAACCACAATTTGCCCAGACACAAACAGTGTCTGGCCTTTCCCCTTTCTCTCTAGGAAACCAAACAATAGCATCTCAAATATTGATGTCTCAAAGAAAAGACACAAAATTTAAGTATTTAGAGAAATAAAATCACAAAAACTTCTCAGACCCTGCTGGGGCCTGTTTGAAGGGCTTTACCCAGCCACTCACTCACTATTCTTGAGCCTCTGTCTGGAGTTGCTCAAAAGAACAATCTGCTTGGAGCATTCTTGTTCCTCCTACCCATGTTCATGGGGGTTGCTTGGAAGGGAAAGAACCCCATGTAGGAATGAGCAGAAGAGAAGAAGGTAAAGCACTCCAACTTCTAAACACGGGCTCATGAGTTCTAGGTAGCTGGGAGCTGGTAATAAATATGATCAGGTTTTTCTTACACACCCGACCGTAAGCAGGCTCCCTATGCAATGGGTTCTGAATGTTGTTTTATTGAGTTGGAAACTAGGAAGCAAGGATTCAGAAAAAAAATCTTAGGGGGCCCAATGCCAGACAAGAAAGGCTGCTGATCATTAATAACCTCTGGCATCTTTATATAGATTATGGATATTACCCATTCCTTCCCTGAAAAAGAGCGTCCTGAGGAAAACCAGCCCAGGAGAACAAACTCTAATTACCTCTACACCCTATGTTACTAGTCTTTACCCATTTATCATTTTCACATTAGACATGTCAAAATGGACTGTTAAAATAAAAGGATCTGAACCAAAGCTCAGAAAACCAAACCCTAGAGCCTCAATGCCAGGCTCCCCACAATCCATTCCTCCTTACCACCAAGAAGTTCAAACCTAATCATATCGTTACCTTCCAATTGCTGGACCCCCTGGCCTGTTTCCAGGGCTTTCTGGGAGTCCTTCAGAGTGCCACACTCCTTCTCTTCCTCTATATCCTCCTCTTCAGCTGACTCTTGCCCGGGAAAGGGTGTATCTGCTTCCTCTGAAGGCTGTCCCTCTCCTGAGGGCAGTTGGGGAGCTGGAGACACATAAAACTTGATGAAGTCTACAGGAGCCGACAGCACTGAATGCTTGTACTTCTCCTCTTACTAGCTGACAGAATCACCCCTTCCCATTTAGCATAAGGGGATCTGGGGTTCTTACAGGAAGACCAGAAACGAAGCTATCAGTAATGCTCCAGCCTAAAATAAATTACTCCTCAAATAACACCATCCTCAGACCCCTTGAAGGTAAGAGCTCTGAGGTCACTGGAGTTGGGGGTAGGGGACTGAGAGGTAGAGAGTGGGTGGACTGCACTTCCCTGGCTCAGGTCCCCAAGCCTAACAGCTGCTGGTTCAGAGCAGGTGAACGCACCCTAACCTCTCAACTGTTCTACTGAGAAACCCAACTCAACAGTTCAGGCTTAAAACCTGCCTTGGTAAGGCAAAGACCTATGACTATTTCCCAGAAGAAAAGAAAGGTCTTCCCTTTAGGAGCAGAGCACAAAGGAATCTTAGCAAGCCAAATCCTCTCATCAGAATTCTGGCCTCTCCTGGCCTGATTCCTCTATTTCCTTCTGCTCCTCTTCTCAACCCATGCCCTTTTTTTTTGAGACCAAGAGGAGTAAGAATCAATGAAGCACCACCCTCCTTGGAGGTTTCTTTTTAAAATAACCCCAGCTTTTCCTACCCAACCCCACTTGCTCTAAAAGGGAGTCAAAAGGCATTCTACCAGTGGCTATGGGCATTTTAGCTTTTGTCCTCAGAAAGTTCTGAAATGAATCAGAAGAGAATATTGGTTAAGTAACTTCAAGGCCACAGTGTGGTTGAAGCCAAATTTCACTCAGTGTCATAAATAAAGACATTCTCTGTATCCCATACATTCTGACTGGTCCAAGCTTTCTGGATGTCTTCCCATGTCAGTCAGTAGTTCTGTCCTCCTGAGCCACTAGTCTGGATTCTCTTGTAATCAGGTATACATCCATGGCACTACATACAACTGCCTTTCCAGGTGGCATACT